GATATTCCTCTCTCATAATTTTTTTAGCTTATTGGGAAAATCCAGTTTTCTTTATCTTGCAGTGGTGTTTATTTTCAAAATTAAACTAATAGCTAATCTCATTTTAGAATTCTGACCTGGTTATCAATTATAACACAAATAAGTCAATCTCTAATTAGTCCATCTGTTAACTGCTCAAGGTCAAGTGGCTTAATTTCATTACAAATATGATGCAAAATATTAAACAGAGATCTAATATGCTAGTTGATACTAATGACAGTGCCTGTGTCTGTTTTATGTTTCTGAAATATTTGTGTCACTTTATATGACCATTTTTCTTCACTGGAATATATTTTGAATCATCAACTTCTCTTTGCTTCCTGCACAGCATGTGGACAATTTCCCTATTTTAAATATTTCTCCTCATGTCATGCTATTTTGTATTTCATTCTCTATTTGGAAGGACTGCAGTTGATTCCTGCAGTTCTCTTGACAGCATCTGCTAGTCTAAGGAATTCAGGTATCTTCATTTTCTTCATTTATTTATAGGTTTAATTTTCTTCTGATATCTGATAAACAAAGAACAGTGATGCTTTTAGATGAGTATTTATATTCTTTAAAAACTGGAAGTTATAAAAGGTCCCCACATAGTTGAAAGATGTGTTTCTTTAAGGAAGTACTAACTTTTACATAGACAATAATGAAATTTGGAAAGCCTGGAAGCTGACATGCTGAGTGCATCATAACTGGTATTTAATGAATGATTTGTAAAGTCTGTACCAAGTCCATAAAAGTAGAGATTTCTCCAGGGGAGGTACCCAGTATGCTCCAGTTGTGCTCTGTAAGGCCATAACTTTGCAGCCTAAAAGTACATCTTTATTATAAAAAGCTGGAGTGGTGGAGGAAGAAGAAAGGGATTACTAATAAAGCAGATAAATTCAGGTAATCTTGCTTGCAAAATTTTGCTGTAGATAATGCAAGTAATGTTTTGATCTCATTGTAATGAGCAAAGGTGATCTTTAGGCCCTATGACACAATGTATGCGATTTTGATTACCACAAACATGGTATTGTATTAGCTGTACTAGGTGTTTTACCACTAAATAGATAAGGCAAAACCAAATACTTTTTGTGATCAGACTAAGACCTGAGGGTGTAAAATGTGAGTCTCTTAGTTGTTTGAACGCTAAAAAAAACCTGAAACTACTGAATTTCTGTACTATCATATAGCTCAGTATCAGACCAATTCTATTCTGCAAGGTGTAAGTTTTAATTTGAGATATGGAGCATAATCAGCATAAACAGAACTGAATGATGTGGTGGTTTGAGAGCCCAAAGCCCTTTTTTTGGTGTGGGGCATGAGGCCAGAAGGGGAAAAAGAAGCTATACTGCTGTCATTTTTCTAACAGTCCAGTGATTACAGAATACCTGGAGTGAAATAGAGATCAAAATACAAACACCATTGCTGATTCAAACCAGTTTCTCTTGTTAATCAAGATAGGGTCTTTCTATGTTATTGCATACTGTGGCCTCCATTGCCCATGGTTCTCGATGTTACTGGTTCTGTTTTGTATAAAGATAATTAAAATTAAAGTTAAGCAGGTTCTAAAATACAGACACTGGAACTCACTGGTGAGTTTTCTTACAAAAATGCTGTAGAATGTCAGTTTTCTTTATCTCTGATTATTGAGATTATTTTACATGGACCGGAACTGCTCCAAGAAAAGGTACGGTTGGAAATCTTTTCCTCCAGGTGCCCTGTAGTAGTCTCAGTCAATGATTCTTGTCTGAGAAGACTGTACAGAAACCTCATTTGAAAATGCAGTAAGGGAACTGAAAGGTGAGTTCTTGTAGCTCCATGGTAAATATCTTTCCCTTTCCCTGTGAGGTACCTCTTTTCTTAAGTAAATATTTGAAGTCTTTCATGAAAATGGGAACACCACCAGGGAGACTATGGAAATCCCATATGAGATTATGGAGAACTTGTCCAGTGCTGCACCCCACTAGAGCAGATGTGTTCGTTCCCATTTCCTTGAGCACTGACTAAGCTCTTCTCTTTTCTGCTCAACTTCATGTTAAGAAACAGAAAAAGGCACCACACTCACCTTTTTGAAGATTTTTTTTTTAAGTTGACTGAATAAATATTTTTAGTTTGTGGTTGTTTCTGTTGAAAAAAGAAAATGTTGGTTCATATTTGACTGGATTCCTTTCTGTTTGAATCAGCTGCTAATATTTTCAAATTTAAGTGGAATGTCAGACTTCCTTGGTAATGTGATATAAAACTACAGGAAACATCAGAGGACATGGCCCACAAAATGAGCAGAAATCCTGATTAATCAAAGTTTAAGAAATGGAAATGAATGGCAATCACAAATTAGTTGCATTGTTATAATATACTGTATACTAACTTTTAATGTGGAGAATGGCTAAGAAGATAGTGTTTGAGTTATCATTTTATTAATAAAGGCACCTAATTTGACAAAAAATAATATTATTTTTATATATTTTGTTGGGAGAATTGTTCAAGTAGTGCTTTGCATTATTCTGATGTTTTTAACAGTCACACCACAGATGCACTTGGCCCTTTGCCTCTTGGATTATAGGCAAGACATAGAATGTTGTTTGAAAGCTAAACTAAATCAGGCTGTTATGAATTGCTAAATGCAAGATCAAACCCATAATCCTCTTTGGACAACTGCTAGGAAAAGAAGGACAAAAAGAAAAAGCAGAACACTGTACCATATTTTTCAGGCAGAACAGAATTTCTTGATTTTTAACATCATATTCTTGCATTCTGGCTGGTGAGTTTAAGAAGCTGTTATCTTGGGAATTAAGATAATGACACTTATCAGTAGATGGGAAATGTTAGTATCAGGAACTGAAAGAAAACACTTTGATATTTCTCTACAGATTCTTACCACCACTTGACATGAAAGTCTTGGCTGAGACAACATAAAACTAACAAGTATGTCTTGGAAGATAATAGATTGAGAAATACACCACAAAAGCTTTATGGAAGATTTGTTTTTCTGTGGTTGACTTAAGGGGCAAACGCAATCCTTTCTGAAGCACTTTGGTTTTATCACAGGTATAACAGAAACTAAAGTAGCTTCAATGCAGACACAACTGTTTCCAGTAGCAGGATATGGATCCTTAAGATGAGAACATTACCATAACATTCCTCTAAGCAGTGATTCATTTTGGGTGCATGTGAACTTCACAAATAGAAGGCTGAAAATGCTTAAGAGAGCTGATATGGGTCCCTAACACAACACCAAAATTATTAGCATTTGATTTTTTGATCAAAATCTTCTTCATATAATAAGCTTCTTCATATATTTAAAGGTAAATAAATTCTTTTTTTTCCTTAATGCTTTTGTGATTGGGATTAAAGTTGTGAGTTGTTAGATACTGGGGAGTAGCATAGTTTGCTTTCATCTGTTCAAAAAGAAAGAAAGGATGGGGTGAATATTATTTTATAGGGATGCTATAGCAGAGATATTCTACTCTGTTTTTCTTCTTTTTTTTTAAATCTGAGGATTGATGAGATCTAATGTAGATGTCTTTGTTATATTTCTAGGTGTTTTAGGGATAGCTCACCACTGAGAGGTGTGATTTAGCTGAATCCAGTGAAAATGTGAACTCAGTGATCATGATGGAAGTTCTGCAAAGGGAACATCCATAAGCCCTCTGTGTGTTCCCAGTGTGTGGAGCTGTCAGCAACTCCTCCTGTATTGCAATTTACAGTTATTCTGAACTTCTGCAGAGTGCACCAAGCAAAACTTTACTGGCCTAAGTGCACTCTGCACATGCATGAGGATATATTCAGGCTGAGGTTTTATCTACTGGAAATTTTAATACATTTAAGAAATTGAACCTGAGCATTCATATTCTATTATTGTTGCAGAGTCTGTAGAGAAAAATGAAAGGACAGCTGTGAATACAATTACATGGAAAGAAGTTGCAGAAAATACTAATATCTACTCTGTAAACTAAGGAGGAATTTACTCACCTAACCTTACGTGGATAAGCCATCTAATCTAAAAAGATCATCTGGGATCACTGAATGAAATAGGAGAAATAGATCCACAGGGCAATTTTTTCTCCCTATGTTACTTATCTGACAGAATTGGGACAGTTACTCTCCATCTGCCTTCAGAGACAGTGGAATAGACTTCACTGGTAGACTGGTTTTCATGGAATGCAAAGTAAAAATATAAATAAATATGGGGAAGATTCTGGAATTTTCCTGCAGATATCAAAGACCTTTCCACTTGCACTTTAGCCAAACATATCTAGCCAATCTTCCTCCCTCCATTTGATACCTCTTCCTCTGGGCTTTTCAATAGAGACATGGAAACAAAATCATTGTGTTCATTTTTGCAGGAATCTTTGCAACACTGCAGACTGTTTCCATGCTATGGCCTCTGTTTGACCTTATAATATTTTCTGTGAGCTAACAACTCTAGTTAGTCACACTTAAACTGGACACAACACTCACTGAGACACTGAGACTTCACTGGAGCAGTGAAAGGACAAATAATTATTTAGTGTCACTTCCAGAACCCATTTATTTTCACAGTTTCTGATAAATTTATTGTTTTAAGAACTGTTTTTTGCATTCAGCGAGTGATGCTCTTTTTCACTTGAGCTTTTAATGGAAATATTTACAAGATCTCAGGTAATTGGCATATTTTGCAGGTTCTTAAAATAATATACAAAGGGTAAGAAATTTTCCTTTTACCCTTTTACAGCATTATGCAAGTCTTTATTTGAAAGTGGTGTTGCTATATTTTCTACTATTTTGGATTTGGAAAAGGAAGTCATTGTATAAAATAATCAATTCATCTGCAGTATATGCTTATACTCTGTTTTTGTGAGATCCTCTCTGCTTCTGGTTCTGAAGATATTATAATTCCTAGAAAATGTTATCTGTATCAAATGCCATCCTTAATCTCAGCATCCTTCTTAAAAATATTTTATTTTGTTGTGCTTTTTTTTCTTCTTCACTTCTTTTTTTAGAGGGTAAAGGCAAAAAGAGAAGTCCTCTTCATGACTTCAAAAAAACAGGAGAGTTGATGCTCATTAAAGTAAACAAAACACTGGAAGTAAAAACGAAGCTGTTAAATACCACAGAGCAATGTGCAAAGAGATGCAGCAGGAACAAGGGCCTTTCCTTCACTTGCAAGTAAGTTATGTATCTCTTCTGTTTGTTTTTTCCCCTAAGGAAACACAATAACAGCCTCTGTAATTGTCATCAATGGTAGCTTGTACCAAGAACAACCTAAAGATTGTTATTTTTGATTTCAGTGACCTTGCTCTACCTGTCCGGAGAGTGTCAGTCTTTTCTGAGGGTTTATATGAGTTATCTGTCTTGTTAGCTTGTCCAATCTGTAATCTTTTCCATAACATAGCTGAAGAAATGTACTCATGTTAAGATGTTGATGACTTGGGCTGCAATGTAGCATTAGGTGAACATTTCTGAGATTTTTATGTCTCTTATAAAACAGTTATTGTCACACATGGCAGCTGCAGTGTTTCAGCACCACTTCAGACCATATTCTCTCTTCATTCTTTGCACATTACTCCTGCTGAAATCAATGAGACCCTCACACATGGAGCACAGATACATGCCCTGCTGAATTTCACTGTCAAGGACTGCAAATCTGATACAATGCAATCAAACCTGGGCTGTGGATAGCTATCCTTCAGCATCTGCTGACTCCTAGGAACACATCATGCTGATCACTTGTCTGCCTTGTACATACTGTCTACTATTTTTTGGAACAAATCTGTAATTTTTGTGACGTATTAGATTTATATGATCCCCCTGGCCTCTCTTAGTCTAGACCATTAGCAATCAATGAAAGGTTGCATTGCAGAAGGTCTTGGAGAGAGTGCCTGACTTCTGTACTGGTGAGTGCTGGGCTAAATGTGATTCTGAACTTGAAACATAAAACGGTTTTGACAATTGATACAATGGAAGCTGGACAAAATGTGACAGCAAAAATTCTTCCTTGGCAGAGAAGATTTTCAGCTGTGATTACGGTCTTCCTTAAGCCTTTAATTCCCTTGTTGCAAGTTCACATTTGTATTGTTCTGTACTATGACTATTTATACATGTAAAAATGAGCAGAGGTAATTTTTCAGATAGAAAATATTTTCCAGGCACTAATATTTTTCACCTGGTACAAGCCATGCCTTTCCCTATTGGCAGGGCTTCCATTGGTGTCATTGTCACAAAGATCAGGTTGTATTCAATACAGAAGACATATTTGAGTTCTGATGAGCAGCAACAAGGAGTATTGCAAAATTAAGTATCACAGTATAAAACAAATTCTGAATAACTCCAAGCAAACAACAATTCTATATTCTAGCATCAGTTTAGGAAAACTTTCTCAACTTGTAGTTGCTCTGGATGCTATATCCTGTGTTCTGAAAATAAAAAGCAAGTTAATATATGCATCTATTCTGTTTCATAATAAAATGAATCTAGAATCTCTCAGAATTTTTAAAATGTTTTCATGTTTTGTAGATTTCTTTTTTGAGACAGTGTCTGATAGATATCTTGGGGGCAATTTCTCCTTTAATGAATTAATACAACGTAAAGGAGACATGAGGGACTTGTAAGAGTACAGCTTGGAAAAGCCCTGCTCACAGATAACAGAATGGCAATCTGTCATGCAATTACATTGCACTGAATCTGGAGCAGAATTACAGATCCTGATAACTTACTCTCTGAATTCCTATTTTCCCTGGTGGCCTTTTAGCAGGGAAGGTGCTAAAAACCTGCTTTAGCAGTAGAGGTGTAGGTGAAGAGATCTTGCCTGTGTTGCCACTATGTACAGAATAAGTGGGATTTTCTTTCTTTTTGTCTCAGAACATTCTTGAAGTTTCCCTTTTGGCCCCATATGGATCCTTTTGTAGTGTGAACTGTTCTTTGATGCTACTGTAAACACACATTTTACATGTGTTCCCTTTTAAAGGATCCAGTGTTTACTAATGTTCCCCTTTTATTCCTAGGATCCCAGTTTTTAACTTCATACCAGCACATGGTTACTACAAGGTGAAATTTGTTGCCAACTGAAATGAAAACCAATTAGCTTCCTGCCTACTGTGGGAGCATTCTAAAATAAGAAGCAACACAAAATGACATTTTAAATGCTTGAAATATGAGACTTGAAATTTCCTATGTTTATTGACATTTTCATGGCTTTATTCTTATACTCCATGCAGCAGTTCTCCATAACTTGGGTCACAGCACTGAGGTTTTATTGTGTGCATGTAAGCTTTATGTAAGAATTAAAAATGGAATTGCTTTGTAACATAACTGTTGCAATGGTACTGGGAGCAACAACATCTGTGCCTGTGCACTGAGATACACAAGCAGGAACAGTGTTAGGTTTCTTTTTTGCCAGAAGGAGGTAAAAGTAGCAGATTTCAGGCACTGCAGGCTTGTAAAGGTTCAGGTACTCCTTATTTTCTGGAGGGAGGGGTAAATTAAGCTAACTTTCTATTTCTTCATTATAAGTTTCTGTGCCACATGAAAGTAAATTTTGAGTATTTTATTGTTTAATCATTAATCCTTGATGGCTTTAAGTCTACCACTTTTTTGTTGAAGCTAATATATGTAACTTTTCAGAACTGATATTTCCTCTATTCCCTTTGCTGTCATGCTTGCATAGATCTTGTTCATTTCCAGCTGAGTTACAAGATCTTTATCTAGACTTGTTTCTTTTTCATAACATTATTCCAAAAATGCTGTCCATCAAAGAACTCCTGAGATTCACTTACACTGTTTTTGACTTCATAAATCTCTGTGACTCTTTTTCTGCCTCCCCTATCAGTTTTATCAAGCTGCTGCTGCTGAACTGTTCTATTCCTTTGTTTCACCACCCTCAGCAGTTCATTACTCCCTCTTTTTTGTACAACCATTATTGTAGTTTTTCCCAAAACAATTCCTGTGGATGAAAAAAATCCAATTCAGTTACTCTTTTATTTACTATACAGGTGACTTTTACAGGTGTGTCCCTTTCCTTAGCTACAAAGTTGTCACTGTCTTATCCTTTGTTATCTGCCTGGAGTGTCTGTATTTACCCAGGAAGGGATTTTGGTACAGACAACAGAATTTCAGTACCTGTAAGAAAATCTACAGACTATCTCAGTACAAAGAAAAACAAAAAAAAAATGTTGTGATCGGCAGTATCAGTAGAAGAAAGTCCAAGAATTTGCTCAAATATGTTGACTTTGGAGGTATAAAAGCCCTCCAGATTTGGGTCCAAGAAAAGATTGTTACAAACTTTTATGTGCAGAACTGGTTGAAGCCAAACTGGAAAGAAACCAAAAGGCAACTGAAAGGCAAAAACTGAAAGAATGGTTTGTAAACAGTGCATTCTGCATTCCCACTTTAGGAGGGAGGAGCAGAAACCAGAATGTAATTGGAAAGGCAGGAAAGGTCAAGGATATTTTTGTGAGTGATGGAGTTAGAGGCACTTGGATATGCTCGAATTTGAGAATCAGCCAGAAGAGAACAGAAGGCTGCACAAGGGCAGAGGGATGAAGGTTAGCAGGTTGGAAACACTTGGAGTCAACAGAGCAGAGAGCAGTTGGATGAAAAATCTGTTTGGTGATGGAAACGATAATGAAGAAGATGTTTGAAAGAGAGAAGACTGGGGAGATTGGATAGGATCTTGTAGCATTTTAAACTGAAGCCAGCAAGATCTCACACAGAAAGCTGGTATGGTGAATTAAATAAGATCAAGGAACTTTTTGTTGAAGGACTCAGTGCTGAAGATTATGGCATAGCTAAAGTATGGATGAAGTGTAAGAAATCTGTGTGACTCTTGATTATTACCAAATAGTGTTAAAATGCCTTCCTAGATCAGAATGAAATATCTCAGAAGGTGTGGGATGAGTGACAAAAATAAAGATTTTGTGGTAGGCTGGAGGAAATAATGTCAGTTATTTGTTATTTGGTTCAAATAAAAAATTAAGGAAATAAAAGTGGAGTTTTTTTCTTTATTTGTTTGATGTAACTTCCTCATTGGAATAACTGTTGCCCCCCCAAGGAGGCCAATTATGATTTTACTACAGTTAAAGACTATCCTTTAAGAACTGTTATGGGAGAAAAAGGTCTGTGCTTATCCTTGCAAGTCTTGAAAGAAGGTGTTTTTACTCTTTAGTTTTGTTTGTCTTTCTTGCCCTATCCCCTATCTAGTCAGTTCAACACACACTGTTACTCACTCCTAGAAATCAGTTAAAAATAGGAGGGAAAAAAAAAAAGAAAATAAAAGTGAGCAAGGAAAAATTCTAGGTACATGAATACAATTTATGTTATTAATAAAAATAAGATTAAAAACAATCTTGTTTTTTAAACAACTCTGTTGTTCTAGGCAAGAAACAGATTCCTTGTGCTTGAATTTTCCCCAATCCATCAGTGTGAGATACTTAACTATTTCAGAGGCATATTGTAAGGATAACAAAGATGATGTTTTAGTCTTCATGGGTTTTTTGTTCCCAGAGAGCAGCGTAACTGAGGACACAAATGCTGTCTCAGTCACATTTATCTAAGTTTTAAAATAAAGATCTTTAATGACAAGGGAACTCTTAGATTAGTGTGAACAACCAAACTGGTATTTAATGTAATGACCACATCAATTTAATTTCTTTGTTTCTTTGCTCTTGTCAGCACAGTTGTGGGTTTAAATAGTAATTTGGACTGTTTCTCTGACTTTCCCAGTAAAAATAAATCTGATGTCATTGCATGCTCCTTGGCAGGCCATGTGTCATTATTATAAACCACACAGAGATTTTTTTCTCATCCAGATTTTCTTTGCAGGGCCTTTGCTTATGACAGAGTTACAAAACGGTGCCATTGGTTATCCTTCAACAGCTTGACAAATGGTGTGAGAAAGAAGCAAGACCATGCGTTTGATCTGTATGAAAAGAAGGGTAACTGATTTATTTACTGATTTTGTTTTTCCAGCTAGGGAAGGGGAAAAAAAAACCCTTGAGGTCAGTCAGTGATTTTTTGGCTGTAGAAACATCCTGGGCATGGATGCTTTTATGCATTTTGAAAGCTGCATCCTACAGTTTTATTTACACATTTCCTGAGTTTGCTGTCATGCAAATTTGTCTACATACTTGCTGTTGGTCAGTTTTCCAATCTACATATTTGCCTACTGTCATAGATACTAGTTTCAGTTTTGTACTTCAGTTTACTACTGAGCAGCTCAGTTGTATGACTTACCATTTATCACTTAATATTGTTCGTATTTACCTCATTAATGAGTAAGATACATAAGTTGTCAGACATGGAGGTTTTTTTAATCAGATACATTGGAAACACTCCCAGGATTTTTTTTTGGGTCAGATAGTGATCAATATTTGAAAAAAAAAAAAAAAAAAAGACAGGCATGTATGTCCACAAATAAACAGTGTTTTGAGGAATTAAGTAGGCAAATAGTAATAAATATATTATTTTATGCGAAAGCAGAAGATGAGCTTTAATTTTTCATACATTAACCAAATATCTCATTTTCTTCTCTTTTATTTCAATAGATTATGTCAGAAATTGTATCATTGGAAAAGGAGCAGACTATAAAGGAACAATATCTGTTACAAAAAGTGGTATTCAGTGTCAGGCCTGGAATTCAATGATCCCCCATGAGCACAGGTAAGAGTTCAGGAGCAGAGACAATGGGAATAGTGCCAAGACAGCTCCCATAAAGCATAAGAATTTATGGGAAAACTAACCTTAGACAACAAAATCTCTTAGGTATATTCTTGCCTTTCTCCAAGAGATGCCATTCTCCAGATCCCAGAAAATTCTTGTCTTGGACTTTCTGCAAAGAGTTTTACCCTAATACCAGCCTGTGTGTCTGTATCTCTTTCTTTCCTGTATTGGGGGTTCTTTTTAGCTGTTGATATCCTTTTGATCTCTTAGCTACTGGCAGAAACAAAACATCTGCATTATTTCAACCCAGGGTCTGAAAGTTCATCACAGTTTTCTAATTGATTCCTAAGGAATGAGCAATTTTGAAAACCACATTTTTAGGAAGCAGGGGATAGTAGACCACCTATTTGCTTAGTGTATAATATTGTCAGTATATTTTGCATAGTTACTGTCAATTCTCTGTTATTTATATTTATGTAATATGTTAAACTCTATGGAGCACTTAGGCCAGACAACAAATCCATGGAAAGAACTGAGACTTTTGAAATCCTTCCCTTCAGATTATACAAGCTAAAGACTGAGGGACCATGCATAGTACTTATCTTTTCAGAGTAGGATCTGGTACAGTGAGAAACTGAGGCCAAACCTGCACCTTGAGAGGAAATCTAGTTGAACTCTCTATTGGCTTAGGAAAAAGAGAAGAAAGCCAAAACCTGAAGCCAGTAACAGTAATGGTAAAAACAGATTCATCCCTAACAAATGTTCCCGGAAACCAGTAAAAGCACTACAAAGTACTGGTCTACTCTTTAACCACTTCTCTTTAAATGTTTTTGTACTGGCTTTAACCATGTAGATAGTAAAACTTTAAGAGACAAAAACAAAATGTCCTTTCTCCCATAAGCTTGCTATCCACATTGCTGCCCTTTGCTCCAGACTCCCAGGCTCAGCAATTTGCTTGGGAGGAGCCAAAGTGGAGATCAATGGTGAGGAGCTGGGCTGTGCACTGCTCAGTCCTGTCCTGACCAAATCAATCCAGTGCGCAAGAGGATATCTTGGAACAACATTAAAAGGCAAAGGATAGTTGAGTTCTGTCCTCTTATGATGTGTTACAAAGCTGAGCCTCAGGCTTGGACTTACTGGACTTGGCTCTTACAGTATAGACAGCAGTGTCTGCTCTTCAGTTTGGGACCAGACCTGTTCTTGACTGGGATCAAACCATAAATACCACCAGATCCCAAAGCAATGACTTCTTGAGACTCAACATCTTGAATTAGCTATCTTCATCTTTCAGATGTGAGAGAATTCTAAACCATTATAACCTAAGCAAAAATGAATATTTATTCTACATAATATACATGTGACTTTTATAATTAGGGAAAGTGTCTAGATAGCACACATGATCACTAAATTGCATTTTAATACACAGCATACACAGTTTTATCCAATGCATTTGGACAGCCACTCTTCTATGATGAATTTTATGAGAGTGACTCTTCTCCTGCCTTGTGCAATAAGTTTAATTTTTAAAAGGTCATCGGATAAATGAGGTGGCTGCATGCTAATTTTGTTTTTCAACATCAGAAAATATGATTTCATCATCAGAGACATGAAGGAGGTGGGAAGAAACAGACAGTAGTTGTGTGTTTGGAACTTATTAGTACAAAAGGCTTAGCTTTGTAGGTCAGTTTTTCTCAACAGCTGATTATCACAACGTGCCATTGGAAAATAAATGCCTCTTTCATATTTAAAGGAGAAATGTATTGTAATGATTTTTAATTAGACTTCTAGGGATAATTGAAGCATCTTGAAACTTTAAACTTTTGCTTCAATCTAGCAAGTAATACTTTTATTTATTTGTATTCCATCAGAACACAGAGATTCCCAGCAAAATCCTGTTTCTATTATTGTTATCTCTATCCTAGTACAGATTTTAAGACTCTTGTAGAGTTTCAAATTAAAAAGTCTAAAGTTAAAAGGTCTCAAAGAGAAATGGTCAAAAAGCAGACCAGTGCATCATAGACTTTTGGCTAGTTTCCACGCCTTTTGTGTGGTTGAATCTGTTTTTACCATTACTCTTACTGGCTTCAGGTTTTGGCTTTTTTTTTTCTTTCTTTCTTTCCTTACCTAATGGAGATGAACTAAATCATCAGTTTTAGGAGTGGCCCTTTTTTCTATTTCTTGGTAGATCTTTACTGTAACTCATATTTTCCTCTCTCAAGAATTTTGTTTCAGTACCTGTTGAAACGTCCAGAGATTTAGCTACTGTTTAGTATTGCTGCAATGTACTGGCAGAGAAATGCCCTGGATTTGTCTGCAATGTGGTGCCTGAATGTGGTCATGAGGTGTTGAGGTGGCATTGAACAGACCAATTCTGGGACTGGGTTCCTTACTATTGTGTTAGCTGTTCCTTATGTTGTTTATTTTTTTATTTACACATAAAAGCATTGCTTTTATATGTTAATATTTATATATCTGTATTATATAAAGTGTGTGTGTGTCACCATGTATGACATGGCTAAACACATACTTTTACAGATGCCTGAGAAGAAAGCACCTTGACCCTGGACATGTTAAGTCAGCTGGGGTGCTGTTAAATGTCTGAACATATACAATGCAATTATGAGTGGGTTTGTAAGCAGAAGACCCTAAGGTGGCAACAGTGGGGCTTGCAGCAGAACACGAAAGAACATGTTAAGTGACCATGAACATTCTTTAGCTAATAACAGCTAAAATGGCATCTGGGGAAATCTCTTGTGCTGAAATACAAAGCAGTCCCTGGTTTCAGGCAGCAAAAACATCTCAGTGGAGGTGTAGCCCAGAGTTGGTCACACTCTCATGCTGCTGATGATCTGTTCTTGCTGCTGCCTGACCAGGGATGGAAAGAGGTTTCTCTGCTTGTGGGTTTCACAGAGTAGGTGAGCTCAGAGCCTAGCTGGACCTGTTGTATGTGCCAGCATGCACAGGAAAGACAGCCTCACCTGGCTACAGACCCAATCAACACCTATGCACCCAGAGCTCCTGAAGGAGAATACAGTGCAGGCTGGCAGGGAGTGTGTGACTGCCTCTGGCTCTGCCCTGGATAGTTGTCTCTGGACAGCTGAGGGATGGGAGTAAGACTCTCTCAAGCACGCTATGGGCTAGACAAATTATCCCAGATTTAGGCCATTTAGGTTGAGTAATCCCAACTGAAGATGTGTATTTGTGTACGGACAGATATTTGGGTGTGTGCATTTACTTAGACAGGGTGGAGGGAGAAGGAAGCAGAAATGTGATTGTTTCTAACTGTTTGTAAAAATAGTATGATTAACCCCAACCTTTGCATGCTCTTATACTGTAATGATTGTCATTTTAAAACTAGCTTTTTGCCTTCGAGCTATCGGGGAAAAGACCTGAGGGAAAACTACTGCCGGAACCCCCGAGGAGAAGAGGGAGGCCCGTGGTGTTTCACCACCAGTCCAGAGACACGCCACGAAGTCTGTGACATCCCTCTCTGCTCAGAAGGTAATCCAGCACAGCTCCCAGAAAGCTCCCAGTAGTCACCTGCTCATGGCCTTTAGAGAAAGAATAGGTGATTTCTCAGTGAGAATAACTCATACAGCAAGAAAAGAAGTTGTTAGAGGAAGATGAGATCTTGTGACATTCCCCTATGCTAGAACGTTTCAGGCTCAGCAGCTTTTTTTGGGTTATGAAGGAGCTTGAACAATGAAGTTGTGCTGATCGCACAAATGTGATTCTTTTTTGCTTGTCTAGTCCATCGTGAATCCATAACAATTTCAGTATTACTATATGATAAAATCATCTAGTACCATTCCATGGTAAAATCAGCTTTTCATCTTCTTTTTGATGAAAATATAGGTACTGGATTACAAGATGAAAGCTTAAGATAAGAATACATATTGCTTTTTGAATAAATACTGTAAATAAATATAACTCTGCAAATCTAACCCCATTTGACTTTCAAGTCACAGAATTTGAAAGACACTTTATATGCACCATTGCATTTGTTGACTTTTAAGTCCTGTTAACCTCCAAATTAAGCTCTTATATCTTGCTAATCAATCAATTCAGTTCCAGTCAATCAACCTATTTAAATCTTCAAGATAGGATGCCTTTAATTTTCTTGCTAATGTGTCACATGCAATAGCTATGCTGTCCTTAGGAAGGAAGAGGAGAGGGAGGGAGGGAGGGAGGGAGGGAGGGAGAGAGACTGGAAGGGAGGGAGGAAGAGAAGGAGAAATAGAATAATTTAATAATTTTATAATAATATTAATAATAGAATAACAGAGCTTGAGAATTTGTTAAAATCTATCATTTAAAGATAAACTTATGTGAACTGCAAATGTGATATTTGACCTGGAGTTCACTTTAGGATGAAGACTTTGGTAGCTGATGTTTTGTGATATCTGTAATTCCTTAAAATAGTATTTTCTAAATGATCCTTCCTTACAATTACTGTAATTAGGGAGTACTTGAGAAGTTTGTCTCCAGTTAATTTTGGTGAATTTGTTTTATATTTTTAGAAATTTCATTCTAATTTCTGTTCAACAATGCTTTCAAATTCCTTTGATAACTTTTGACCACTCTTCCTCCATGCCCCCTACCCACTTTCCCAAACCAGGACTGAAAATATATCTCAGTTTAAGCTGCCAAAAACCATTATAATCAAAAAGATACAGTATCATATGTAGCTCAAAGTGCTGGGTACATAAAGAAACGTTCTGTACTGCACTGAAATTGGGATTTTGCCAATATTCAGCACTTAAACTTGTCCTGTAATTATACTGTGACTTAGAGTGATTTAGAAAAATAAATGATGCTAAGTAGATGATATCACCTTTAAAAAAGACTTTTTCTTTAGCTATGGGTCTCTCTCTCTAACTAACCATAAGTAAGATTAGTAAAAGACTGATAGGAACATGAATGCTTCTGGTAGCTCCCCTCCCTCTACCTGTTTCAAAACTGTGTCCTATAAAGTGATACGAAATTTAAGCCTCTAGATTAGTGCTAACAGATACTCCAAAGGGCATAACAGATATTCCAAAGGGCATAACACATACCAACCCAACAGAAAGATGGTCATAGTTTAAATACCTCTTTAGGTTGGTATCATTATATAAGAGCAAGGACACGTTGGGGTTTTTTTATGTTGATTTCTTTGGTTTTGGTTTTGGTTTTTTGGGGTTTTTTTTGTGGTATAAGTCATTAGTGTAATAAATGACTAGTGTCTATTTTTTTTCTAGTTGAATGCATGACCTGCAATGGAGAGAGTTATAGAGGGCCAATGGATCACACCGAGACAGGCAAGGAGTGTCAGCGCTGGGATCTTCAGAGACCACACAAGCACAAATTTCGTCCAGAGAGGTAACCTCTCATACCCCCAGGCAAGACCATGTGGTCATAATTTGAAAATTACATACATTCTGGAACCTGCAGAACAAAATTAGCTTTAGTTCAACTGAAATTTGTGGAGTTCACCAATTTTAGATGCTTGGGCTTCTGGCTCCTGTTGTAGGCTGGCTACTGACACAATGGGTATGCAGGATGGAGAAAGGAGGCTGTTTTGTACAGTTCTGGTTACATCCCATGCCTGACTGGTGTACTAATGCTGCTACTGCTTTAATTGATCAAAAATTCCTTCCTATTTGTGCTAGTTCATTGACAGTAAATAAATAACCTATGAATATTTCTGTATATATTAGTATGCAGCTGCAGTCAGCTTAAATACCTTAATGTAATCACATAGTAAATAATGATTTAAAGTAATAAATTTTTGTTAGATCTCTTAACACATTTGATGAATATAAACTTCCAATATTGTCAAATAACAATATCCTCCTTTTTGCAATATTGAACAGCTTTAAAGCTGTAGGTGACCTTTCATAATAATCACATTTAAGTATACAATTTGTCTGACTAAACTGTTTGACCACTACATCTGTTTATTCACCCTGGGAAAGGATTTAATCATTCTGTTTAGCATTTTATGAACATGGAATTCTTTATTAGACTTGCTTGCTTTTTTTTTTTTTTTTTTTTTTTAATTTAGGCACTGATTAACAATGCCAAAAGCTGAGTCAGAAATAGCAAGACAAATTTCATCCCTGTTAGGGTTTGTCCTACAGAGCTAAATTCATCCAACTACAAAGGGTCATCTATAATACAGACTTCTGAAAGTATTGTGGGAGGGACAGGGTAGGAAGGGGTTAGGCCACACAGGAGGGGGTCTCTGTTCATCTCAAACTGGATTACAGTTTCATTTTAGTTTTATTTTTTATTAAATCCATTTATATATTGTTTTGGATAAATTCTAACTTCCAGAAAAAGACTGCGAGAATCAACAAAACCAGAATGATTAAGACCTTCCAGTGAAAGTATCTTTTTATATGTTAAAGTGTTTCAGCAAATAAAACATTATTTTTATTTTAAGAGATATGGGTACTAATAGATTTTAGAAAGCCTGATTATTCAGCAAAATATGGAGAATCTGCAGTTTTGGAGCTTATGTGGTATAATGTTTTTTCCCTTGGCTTGGATGATCTGTTTCATGAATAATAGCAGTCTATCCCATTGTTCTGCCACAATAAATATTTTGTATTAGCAGAGTGGGACTGAAGATAATCTGTTTCTGAGTTTTGCCATGCACTTACTGTGTATTCTAGAATAAGTCACAGAAACAGATTTGTTCCTTTGGAGTGAAACATTTATAGAACTCATGGGTACAAACAAGAATAATTTTACTGTCAGGAGGAAATTTCTTTTTTTCCATTAATTTCTAATTGTTTTGCAAAATGACTTTCCAGACTAACCACAGTCTTACGAACAATCGTCTTCCTCTTTGAAATAATTCCTTCTGAGAACATCTTCTTGAGACTTTTCAGACAGTAATAAAGTGCTTTTTTTAATCAAAAAGCAACCCATCCAGATTGAACTCACTTGAGTGTGCTTTCAGAAGAGTAATGTAGTCCAGCGTATTTCTGATATACTGATGTTAATTAGCTCTTTGAACAGTCACTAAAAGTAGCAGCAATTATACTTTAATTTTACCACATTTTTTGAATGCTGAAGGTTTTGGTTGGTTGAGGGTTTTTTTCATAGTCATATAAGTTGAAAATAAAAGAAAAGGTCTGGAACAAATAACCCATTAAAATACAGCAGTCTCTAGAGACACTTATAGTATATCATCCTGGCGTAATGTAAATAACCTGTAAACCAGGAAGGATTATCTGGACATATTTAAAACTATTTTCATTTATGGCTTCATAAGTTGCAATGATAAAGAAAAGGAATAAAGACAGTAATATTTCCAAATGCACCGGTCTACATGCTGTTGGACAGTGCTTTTGGCTCAGGGTAAATACCACTCACTTTTCTGTCACCTCAATGAATTGTTTTCACATTTACTCCCCTCAGAGGCCAGTTACTGAAGATGCTTACTGTCTGCTTAGATGTGATTGAAGCAGGCAGAAGGAATTCCCCCAAACCTCCTGCATGGCCCATTTTCAGCTATTAGAGGATGCAGAATTATATTCTTAAACTCCAGTTCTCTGATGTTCTTCTCATGGGCACAGTTATGCCTCAGGATGGAAGGAAGACCACTGAAGATAATGTCTTGGGCATAGAGCAGCATAAGGGGGAAAAGTTTTTTGCCCTTTTCTGCTCAAACATCCTGTGAAGATATGTATTATGTGGAGGAAACTAGGAATGAAGTGTATCATAGGAAGCAAATAACTGCAGACATCACTTTATTAGTACCCTGGTACTAGTAATGTACTAGTAATTTATATCTCTTGTATGAAAATTTACTTTTTAAAAGAAACAAATTTACAATCCTACATGTCTTTAAAAAAAAAGGGAGATGAAATATTGGTAAAGAGCTTTAAATACTAAGTTTCATTTTATTTCCAGGAGAGCTGGAGATCAGCACCTGTATCTTCAAAAAGGATAAATTTTATCTCTTTGCCTAATACTCTCCTCTATTTTCTCTAGAAACTGAGATAGTCTTGATTTTGATGGCAGATACATATCTTCATGCTTAATTTCAGTTCTGGAAGTGAAGTACAGCTACTGCTGTGTCAAGGGGGAAAAAACAAATATGTAGAGTTCTAGAAGATCTCTGACACCTGAGGCTCTTTATTAAGTCTAAGAAAGGGCTCTGTGCCCAAATGTACTGGGGAAGGAGAAGTGTGTACAACAAGGAGACAGCTCTCAGAGAACCCTGCATAGCCTCACTGTTGAATTGTGTGGAACAGTTTGAAGCCCTGTTACTTATTACTAATATTTGCTTCTTAAAGGTATTAGTTGGTCTCTTTTTAAAAGCAATTGTTTCTTGCTGGGTATGAAGGAAGACAGAAGCCTCCCTTGATACTGGGGGAAGAACCATTGACTGGGAAGTCTAGTTTTGCTGTAGAAAAGGACAAGTAGATCTAGTTGGTGAAAAGATACAGCTCACAGGCACTACACCATCCCATGAAGACACAAAGCTTGATCCTGGAAGAACATCTCTACCTAAGTTTTAATGAGTAAATAACCCATATTTGATATACTGTGGGAATATGGAATATAATATTAGGAAGGACGGAGCATTCAGTGCAAAGACAGACATTTGTATTCTAGAACACAGATTCTTTGCATCACGAGCTGTTCTGAATGCTTTTTGTGAGCTGTGACTCCATATACTTTGCCACTCCTGGACTCGCCTTGGTTCTTAGGTGGTAACATGCACCTTCCACGCTATTTGACATGGAACATGTTCCACCAGCATCAAGGCTCATCACTGCATCTACTGAGAGGCCAAACCCATATAATTTTCTGATGCATTATTAGCTCATTAACTATTTTTTTGGGAAATCCTTAGACACAACTGTTTTTTACATTTGTTTTGCACCTAGCAGAAAACAGGGTACTGCTGCTAGATCTGAAATTACCATGTTCTTGACTTCTATTGAAGTTCCAGTTTGGCGAGATTTCTCCTTGGTGATTTTGTTGTCATTTTGGTTTTCTTTATGTTTTTTTTTTTTAATTCTACTTAAATCTTATCCTTGTCCCTTGTTCAGTTGAAGGAACCTGACTTTTCCTAAGAAATGGGAGATCAAGTTGCAAGTGAGTCAAAATTAGCATGATCATTTGACAGAAAAACCATCCTAGGAAAAACATACACTTGTAAATCATATTTTCATCTGCTTGTGTGAAGCACATCTGCTGGCAGTTGTAAATGGATTCAGGATCCCAAGTAGTTAACTTTATTGTTCTCTTACATACTTTTCACGTTTCCCTCAGAGGCAAATCTACTTTTTGTTTCTTTTGCAAACACATTTCAATAAAACTGGAAGGCCAAGACAAATTGTATTCACTAGAGAAAAAAAAACCAACCAGATGCATTTATCTCCTTCAAGTTTACAGATGTTAGTATCATGTATTTATATATAAAAAACCTACATATCTTGGATATCTGTCTGATAGTCAGTGACAGCTGTAGGAATGTGGAAACATTTAAATATAGCACAATATTATCAAGTCTTAATGAGATAAATTGAGATGAAAGTTATTTACTTATTTTCTCCTTTCTCCCAGTGCTTGAAATGAGGGCATGACCAAAAATGAGCTCTGTTACAAAAATTGAGCTATCATTAGTAACAAGGCTACCCAAAAAAGCTTCAAGTTTGAACCCAGGGCTGTTGCACTGAAGAACCTGTTTTCATAATGAGTCCGGCATGGCAGGCAGCATTTAGATAATCCACATTTAATTGGTCTGTTTAAAAAAAAAATGAGTGGCTTAAGTATCTGGTCATCAGTTGACAGACACAAGAGCAAGAGTTTAGCAATTAGTGGAGTTAGCCTATCCGGTACCCTGTGCATTAGCACAGCAGGGAGTCCCCTCAGTGGAGGTCTGATTCTGCTGAAGATTTGGAAAGTGTTTATATGTTATTAACTTTTTAACAGCATTAAAGGCATATTTGCATCCATCCTACAGGATCAGACCCAAGGTTAATAGGAACCAGTTCTTGTTTGCCTCTGCTGAAATCTGTCCTTTAAGTACCTTGCAGAAGGCAGTGCGGTGTTGCCAGGAAGACTTCCCTGACGTGTTTCTCATTGTGGTTTGCAGATATCCTGACAAGGGCTTTGATGATAATTACTGCCGCAATCCTGATGGCAAGCTGAGACCATGGTGCTACACTCTTGACCCTAACACCCCCTGGGAGTTCTGTGCAATTAAAACGTGTGGTGAGTTCAAGCAAAATTTATTGCTTCCTTTTCCTTTCCAAAATCTGGGTATTTCAAGCAGTGTAGGACCACCGCTAGTTCATTCATTGCACTTCATTGGCTTTTAAAACATACCTTTCAAAGAGGGTCTCCTATAAACACTTTATATTTAATCTGGACAGCAAAGAAGAGTTGTGCTTTACTTACCACGAGAATATGTGTATGCCTCATGTACTGTAAATTGCATTAAAATGTACAAAAATCAAGTATTAAAAAAGTGAGGCAACAAAATCATGAGGATCTCATGTACAGTATTAGTTTGGCCATGCTGGACATTTTCATTATCATTTGAAAGTATCAAATATCATTTGGTGCACACACACAATCCCATCTCAGTATCTTCTGCTAACAATTCTTTACTGCTTTGCAATTCTAGGTCCACATAATTCACTCTTGTGCTGAAGATAGAATTATTAATTTCCACCTGGGTCTCTCTGTGATATTGAGCACTCCATATCAAAGCAGTCCACAGGCAAAGAACTTTATTTATCAGTTACAAGATGGTGGAATTTTTTAACCACACTTTGGAGACAAGGAATTGAATCAAAGTGACATTAAGGTGTACAGTTGTTGGATGCTCACTTTGAGATGTTCTTGTTCAGCATTTTAGAGCTTACTACAATATGTCTTCAAAGTTCAGATCATCTTAACTTTGGTGCCAGCTCTGAAAGCTCTATTTTACTGATAACTAGGTGTCTTAAATGAGAAGTAAAGGGACAAGGACGAAGGTAGAACTCTTGGTTATTTCTTGAAAACTCGAGCAAAGCAATTTTTCTGTACTTTCATGGTAATACTGGGGCTAAGGTGAATGGTAGAGTCAGTTTTACTGAGACTTGCTTTAAATATTGGGATGGGTGGCAAGGAAGAGGTAATAGCTCTGATGTGAAATTTTATTTGTGAGTCATTGCTGCCTAAAGAGCGATTCTCCACCTTCATTTAAAATTCTCATCAAAAAAATTGTGCTGTGTGTTCTGCCTGAATCACCAATAATTCAGAATTTTTTCTCCTTGGCTCTCCTTATAGCTTAGGCCAGTTCTAATGTCTTGGAGATTCAGTCTGGTCTAATCAATTTTTTGATTTTTGAAATCCAAGGATTGAGTAAGAATATTCTGTACTGCCTGATGTAATTTAACTTAATCTATTTTATGTCATTGTAATTCCAGTATAAGGTAGTTAAATTATCAAAATTATTCCACTGTAAAAAAGACAAAATTATTTTGATACTTTGGGCAATGTCTAATCAGGCTCCCCCGAGAAAGAAGAAACTTGGCAGGATAGCTGCTTGTTTTGGGTCAGGCACCCATTTCACACCCATGATGAAAGTCTTACCTGTGAACTACACAACTAATTAATGTTTTTATATCTAAACTTACTGACAATCTTTGATAAAGGGGAAATCTCAGATTATCTCTTTTGTGAACAGAGATTTCTTAGTTGTGCAACTCAATCATCTTTCAATTTTTTAGTTACTCAATTAAGTAAGGAGCTGTTGCTTTGGATTTTTGGCCTGTGTTGGTTTGGGCTTTGTTTTGGTTTGTGGTTTGTTTTTTTAAAACTAAACTGTGCTTCCTACACTTCTCCAATTATTAGATAACATATGAATCATGTGTAGCCTACTAGAACTGTTCTTTTCCCCTGTTACTATTATGAAAAAAAAGTACTCCTAAGTTACAGCTGACTGTTTCACAAATGCAACTTTTATAAACCTTTATCCTTTGGCATTTCCTGAGCTGATGTGTCAGTGTTCTGAGGATTCACATCTGGCTTTGTTGGTCATGTAAGCTTATGCCTTACTTCCAGTATCTACAGTCTGGCCTCAGCTTTATAAAATAGTTGGGTGGGAGATCTCCTCAAAACTACTGGATTATCACCTTTGTCTGTCAAGTCAGAGCCCTGAAGAAAAGGTAAAGATCAAAATGAAATTAAAAACAACTTCAAAACACAGTGTAATGATTTTTCATCTTGTGATGAAAGCCTTTTGTCTCATTTCTAGGCAAAAGTTCACTGAAGGAACTAGAAAATCTTTCCTTCAGTTAGAAATTATATTAAAATAAGTGGAAATTTCACATGTAAAACTGCATTTTCCCTGCAGAATACTGTATCTCTTTCGAAATTAATAAGACAACCTCTATGAGAAAAAAATTTTAAACTAGGGGCCATGAAAGCTTAATCCAACAGATTTTTTCAGAGTTTTTCTCACAGGCATAAGACATTGCTTCTATGTAAGATGCAGCGGTGCTCAACGCTTTCCTTTAAAACCCACTGAGGAAATTTATTGCTGATGCTACTGTTAAATCACAATCTTGATGGCCAGAATACTAACAGAAATTATTTTTGATTTCTGTCTTTCTTGAGGCTCATAAAAAAACTGTTTTCCCACCTCCTAGCAGGGAGCCCAAAACACTTGGCTATTCTGGGTTTCGGTGGCTGTTCTGTGTTTCGGATTCTGGGGCTGTTTGCAATCTCAGAACACTAAAAAGAGATCATGAGTTATAGGTCTTTATAGCTTTGTGGTTTGGATTCTCACACAGGTTTTAATTCCTATGCTGAGGACTGTTTATTTAATTTACAAGAAATACTAATTAGGAAAAATGCTTTGCAAATCCAAGTCCTTGGACCATTTACAAAAATGTAGGTGTCCTCTCTTTGGGGACTGACCACAAGGCAGCATGCTGCTTGTGGCTTTTTGCTACATGTTGTGAGTGCTAGTGTTCTTTATAGCCAAAATGCTGACAACAGCTCATATACAAAAATTTCTGCAAAAAAGTTGGTGGAAGGAAGCGTTTAGAAAATAAATATGGTTTTAAGACTGAAGAGAGGGCATTGTGATTTTACTTCCAAGCACAGAATGCAGCATAAAACATTGTGGCTTACTGCCAGGGCTGTGAGAAAGAGATGACAGGAGCAATTAGGAATTAGAGATGGCTCAAGCTGCAAAAACTGGATTTGGATTAAGACTTTGGGGACCCCAGGACTGGTTTGAAGTTGCTCACATATGTGTCTGTGGTTTTGGCTTGAGACAATTTTTAGTTAGAAGAGAGGATAAAAGGACAACTAACAGCAATGAAGAAGTGTAGGATGAAATGAAGAAATGGAAGCAGTGCCAGCAAACATGAAAAAGGAAAATGACTGTTATTTTGGCATAAATGAGAACATTGACTACAGGGAAGACAGGAGTAAAGAACTAATATTGCTGTTTTTAAAGCCCAAACAGGTAGCAGTTCCTCTATGGATGAGCTTTAGAGAGATACTGAGATCCATAAAGGAAGCTACAGATATCAGTCATTTGAGAACTACAGAACTTTTATGGAATTACTGTGTTAAGGACAGTGTTTCATTGATGCCTACCTCTGTCCAGCCAACCCAGATGCCTGTACTACGGATTTAGCCTTTGCCATCAGTAGTCACTGACACTAGTCAGGGGTGACCAGAGCCTGAAAAAGCTTTGAGATAATTCAATAAAGGCCTCCGTTGGATGGGAAACAACAGGTAATAAAACAACAAAACTGAGACTCTAGATCTAAAATGAGCTGTTGTAATGTGCCCACAGCTTTTGGGAAGGCAAAAACCCACCAACCTTAAATTACTCATTCTTTAAAAACAGAGATTTCAACTGTTCATTTGAATGCACAGTTCTGATTAAAGAGTTATTTGTTCAATCATACTACATGTACAAATAAAAGTTAGAGTCACTTAAGGTTAATATTTGTACAAGATAAAGATGTTTATAGAAAGGAGGCAGGGAAAAGAGACTGATATTTAGAAGTTGATAAAGTCTTACCTTCCATCTTGCTTTAAAAAGAGACAAAGAATAGGTCCAGTGTTCACTATTTATGCAACAGATTAATCCACATTGCCTCAAAAAGGATCCTTCTCAAATCCTTTTCATAATTTCTATGATAATTTGAAAGCAAAATTTAGGAACTCTAAATGTGAGGAGATTTTTTAAAAATAGATTTAAAATAAAAATGGTTTGCATTTAAAGCTTTGTTGTAGACACTGGAACAGCCTGGAAAGATTTCTCTGGGCTCATCAACAAATTAATTGTATGTGTGAAGGTTTTAGGTGACAAACAGTTTTTCAGTTCTGTGGTTCTTGAGCTTGGCTATAATTGATATCTTCACTTTCTCATACGTTTTTACTAAATAAAAAACAAAACACTGGAAGTCAGTTGGGTTTTTCTGCCATTCTTGTACTGTCATGGTACACTGAAGAAAACATGGAAAGGAAGGAGCTGGCACTAAACTAGTCTCCAGAACTGGAAATGCCTTTGCTAAGGGAAGGGAAGGGATGCCTGAAAGCAGTGCAACTGAGCATGAGCAGCTTCAAAACACCACTCAGCTTTCTTACTAACATTTGCAGAATTGCATGGATCACGTTTAGAATCAACTTTTTAAGTTGTTTTGTTACAAATCAGGGCACATTTTCATTCTGTTGATTAACATTGTAGAAGAGACATTGCATGAATATAAGCAAGAGCAGGTATTTTCCTCATAATATAATTTAGGACTCTGCTTCTTTTCCAACTATGTCTTTTTCCACAAATACTGTTGTGTTGTCATGAAAGAACATGCATTCTCCAGCAAAATCTCTACCTTCTTTTAAGTCAGTATGATTCTCACCATTGACCAAAAATTTGTGCAGGATTTTCTTCAGGGTCATTTGTCTTACAGTGCGAAATAGTATCTAGCTGGTTACTTCAGCTGTGGAATGACTCAAGGCCCCTGCTGATTCCCTCATTCTGGAGTTGCTTTGAGAACCAGAACTAAGACTATCTGTGGCTTTACACATAAGGCTATGGATAATGTTTCATCTTTTTAAGATTTTATGAATGCATGAGCTGTCCCATATTAATAAACTTATATACTTTGAAATATCAAAAAAAGGGAGGATTTTGTGGAAAAAAAGGGTATCTGAATTATTGCCCTTTGATTGGGGACTTCAGAGTGAACATGTGAAGGTAGAAATACTACTAATGAGAAATCCCCTCATGTGGCTGTCTGAGTTGCATGTTCAATCTTAGTAATCTAGAATTTAAAAAAAGAAAACAAAACCCCACAAAGTTCAAAAACAGCAAAATACTTCTAACAACTACCAAATTCTTCTGTTCATAATGAACTTTCTTACAGAAGTAAGAAGTGACACTTAATCCACAAATTATAAATAGTAGTCTTTTATAAGGTGGAATTTTGTGTGATTTTTCTTTAATCAGTACTTTTAATCTCAGTTCAGAACTCAAAAATCAGAACTCAAACTCTGAAGCAAAAGAAACCTGGGAACTTCCATTATGAAATATTAGTAAATACTGCAAAGTAAGGATTGCTTCTTGATTATAAATTAATCTAGCTAAATTAATATTGTCTTCCTCATTGACACAATTCCTTGGATTTTTTAGATCTTAATTTATTTTTTAGAGGATTTACTGGGATAAGGATGGGAATTTGATTTTATAGATTTTGATTTTGATCTTGATCTTGATTTTGCCTTGTAAGAGAACTGGTGAGTGTGGTCTTAGGGCTCTTTCATCAATGCTCTGTACATCTGATGTTCATGCTCAGAGTTATTAAATTTAGTTAATTTGGTATTGGTGATGAGTAATTAGGTTCAATAACAAGATCAGTACTGAATGGAGATGACTGTGTAGGTTGTAGGCTTGGACAGCCTGGGCACTTTTTAGTTTGGCAAGTGCTGTATAATCTGCAGTGTCTGGTGAGAGAGGCACTGCTCCTCAAGCTCTTGCCTGTTCCTGTGCACATCCAGCCCAACTTTCATTAACAGGAATAGGGAGACTGTTCCCATCATGCCTGTTTGTGGAATCGACAGATGAATGAAGGATTTCTCAAGCATTTATTGGTAAGTTTTCAGCTTTCTGTGAGACTCAATAGCTAGAATGGGAATTGGTTCTGAGGGCACAAGCCCTCAGAATTTCAGAATAAAATTTTGGAAATATTTTGGAGTCTCATTTTTCATGTTTCAAAATGAGACATTTGTAGTATATGCAGGCGGTACAGCTAGAAGAATTTGGGGAGGGTTCTGTGAACCTTTTGGAACAATGAAACAGCATTACTAGAATTCTTACTGAGAGCTGCCAAAAGTAATTGCAGGTAATCACGTTACAGATTTTGAAATAATTTATCTCTTAGTCATTATAGTGCAAGTCTTTCCAGAAGTGGCTGGGCTGTGCAAATATTCATGACAATGTGGAAGTTAAGTTGTTCTGATGCCTTTACATTGTATATTTTGACATGGCAAAGTTGTAAAATCTGATCCACAGGTAGAGGTCACTGTCCAGACACATAATGTAACGTTCAATAATTAACTGTGTATCTGCAGATGTAAAAGAAGGAATGCTCTACAAAATTACTACGGCCTTGATTAAATCAATTGATGCATCACTTATTTCATTTCAGGCATCTGATTAAAAAAAAAAAAAAGCACATAATGATATATAAACACCAACCTAATTTCTTTGTCTTTAGCATGACTGAGTACAGACAAGGTGCCCCATACAGTTCATTACAGTTGAAATAGTAACTTTTTGTGTATAGATAAGGTCTTTGCAACAGCTCATATTTTATTGATTTTTTGCACATTATTAGTATCATTTAAGAAGACTTGTTGCTAGACTTATGTAGTTCCAATTTATTAATTTACTTAGGAAATATTATAAAGCCAGGATGTATACTTAAATTTATCATCTTAGGGAACTCTTCTCTCCTGCCCCCTCAGGTCCTCCCCAGATCTCTTTCATTTATATAAAAGAAATGTGGGTATTTTTGAAAAAGACTAATATGTATTTGAATGTTGCATAGCAATGTTCACTCTAATCATCTTAGAAGCTATTTTAGACTATAAGTCCACTTGTTTTCACATATTATTTATAATAGAAAACAGAAATATTGCAGCTATTTATTACTGTAAGTTGTATGAATTAATCTTTTTGTAGCCTTATTATTTAAAAAGGGGTGTGTAAAGACTAAATATAAAGTTACTAGCTGCAAGACTGTTTGATGAGTCCCCTAGAAAGAGTACATTTGTCAGCCTGCAGAAACCTCCTTGTGATACTTGCAGTGCCATATCCTTTTAACTTTGGAATGAGCTTGGAACTCAAAATTCCATTGAAAGAGGACAACATTTGCCTTGGGAAGGAGGGACAAGAAATTAATTTGACCATGAAACACTGACTTAAAAACATCAACCAGATGAAGAGCAAAAGGGATGCATGGATACATGTATAATTCAACTGCACAACTTGATGTTATCATCTGACAGGGAAATGATCTTTAACGTCAAAGATCAGTCAAATCAGCCAAAACCATCTGTTATGACATTTGGTTTCCTTAAGATCCATATTTTCTCCAAGTTCATGGAACTGGCTCAAGTTACCAGGAGTGAACTACAATATGAGTAACACACAAATACTGTTCTATTCACTGGACCATTTAAAGAAAACTAAATAAAGAAGTTTATTGATATACTTTTTGCTGGCAATTAATACTTTAAAGATAATTAATAAAATTAGTCTTGCAAAACCATAGCAATTACCAACAGATATACAGTTTCTTTTAAAATACTGTATTGGGAACTTTTGAGAATACTGAAGAAGAATTGCTCTAACTGCAGTGCATGTAGTTTTGTACTACTTTGTATATATCTGATGCAATATCTGTGCCATTAATTTGCAATTATAAAAATTGCATAAGAAATAAAAAGAGACTTTTAAGTTATGTGAATGAGTCATTTCAAAACCACTGTTTTTCTGAATTTAGTTCAAGACAGCCCACACCAGGGTGAGTGCAGAGTATATCAACATCTGTAAGAGATCTTGAGTCTGATGAATTTGTTAGTCTTTAAAACATTTTTCACTCTGTAGAGAATACTGATCTTTGATTTCAAAAGCTGGGCTTTTTTTTCACTCTTTTAACCATATGAGGCATAAAAAAAACTTCTAGGAGAATATAGCACATTAACTTATAATAGGATCTATTTTTTTTATTATTAGTTTTATCTGCATGTTTTTTTCCTGTGATCTGGTATTCTGGGAATTCTTTAGAGAAACCCAATTGTGTTTAAAGCCTACAAATATTTGTTACCATGTTTAACAGTGTGCATGTGGGTGGCCACTTATTTTATTAAAACTGAAGGAGTGATATATGCTGAATTTGATAAAGTAACCAGGAATATCTTCTAATCTCCAATGGTACAGCATAGGCCAGGTGTCTCAAGTAAGAAAATGCTGCAGACTCTTCGCATGAAAGCAAATAAACCAGCATAAACTCTGGCACCTATTTTGTTTTCATTTTCTGTGGATGTTGTAAATGTGAAGAGGAGAAAATTATTCTATAATCACATTGGCAATTTCACCAATAAAACTGCAATTACCATTATTTGAACATCATGTAATCCATGACTCTACCAGTAAAGTGGAGTTCAAACCAGGCATCCTGAGCCATTCCTAAGAGAATGAAAGAGCCCTTCTTGTCTGGGTCTGCAGAGGAAAGCGCCGTGAACCGCACAGAGGCGGCAGCCGAGACCACAGCGTGCGTTCGGGGACAGGGCGAGGGTTATCGTGGCACCGTCAGCACCATATGGAGTGGGATCCAGTGCCAGAGGTGGGACTCCCAGTTTCCTCACCAGCACAACATCACCCCTGAGAACTTCAAATGCAAGTGAGTAGAGACATGTGGGTATTATTTCTGCAGTGGGAAGAGAGCTGAGGTTTAAAATGCTTAAGAGTTCATGCCACTGGAGCAGATCATAGGGCTCTGTCCCTGCCCATGTTCTCTAAGGATTTTGTGAACTTCTCCTTAAACATGTATTCACCAATATGACTGTGAAGTGCCTGGATGTGTTCCAGGCTGGGACCTGAATTCCAACAGTCCTGATACATTACCACGGGATTTTTTTCATGGAACTAAAATCTTCTTTGGAGTTTGATTGCTGACTTTACTTTAATATGACCTAAATATTACCTAAATATAATATTCTTTGTAATAATTAACACTTTTAATATTTGAAAACATTTCTTTGATTTTTCATATTTAAAATCCTTTTTCTGTCTTATTACTAAATATAAATGCAACAATAGGAGTGCTTTTAATTGAGTGACCACTGGTCATCAAACCTTTCTGTATGGTTCATAAACTTCCAACATGTGAATAATCTACTAATTTTAGGTAGTTACCTTTGTAATGTTCATTCAGTCCTTTTTTACCTAAGCCTAGAGGAAACCTTGCTGACCAGATTGAAGTCACAGCCCAGTTTGCACTAAACATCTTTATTGAGGGGAAAATATCAGTAAGAACTACAGTATTAGGCCCATTCTTTCGATAGTCTGTTATCAGTAAGTGCTGCAGATGTAAAAAATACAATGAAATATGGAGATGCACAGAACATGGCAACAACTGTCAAGAGACAGGGAAATAAAACTTACATTTAAGAGGTTTGAATATTTCATGCAAGCTGTAAAAGACATTTAAAGATGTTCCCTTGTGACTAACTTTAACTTTAAAGGTAACAGCTGTATAGAATTTCGACATAAACTTTATTTTCCACAATTCAGCTTCTTAAATGAGTTACTGATAGTCTAAAGCACTCTGTTTCTCCAAACTCAGCAGAACCATTCAAAGTACAGGGAATTTTAAGCATTTTGGTAATGTTTGTATTTAAAAGCACTTGTAATATATTGCAGGTGTATCCAATGTCAGTTGCATGCAAATTTTGATGAGGGATCCTGAATGAAGATATTGTTAATCTTCAAATGAAAACTTACATCACATCAAAACCTATGTCTGCTGAAAATGAATTTCCACAAACATATTCCTATTACAGTTATTGTTTTTTTTCTGCATACTGTGTTTTTACTCCTCATCTCCTTGCACTTGACACTGATCAGTAACACAGAGACCTGAATGAGCCTGTATTTTTGTTAATCCATGACAAAAAACAATGGACCACATTGGTGGGTTTAGGTTATCCCTGCTGCAAGCTAACATATTTATTTTTACAGGGATTTGAGGGAGAACTACTGCCGAAATCCAGATGGATCTGAATCACCCTGGTGCTTTACCACTGACCCAAACATCCGTATTGGTTATTGCTCCCAGATTCCTAAGTGTGATGTATCAAATGAACAAGGTAACAGAGGAAAGGGTGATAACATGATTTTAAGTGAATGCCATACTGTTCCAAATATCAAGTAGACAGCCTTGAAAACTGGAGAAGTTGTATCTGTATTTCACCTGTGTAGTTCTGCTTTGGCTTTATTGGCATGCTTGGGGTTCATTGTGCTGTAAATGAGATTCCTTTTTCACTTTATTTGTAATTCCAGCAGAGAAAGCTGCAGCAAAGATTTTATTGGACCTGATTTTTAGACAAGGCCTGTCTATGTATCTGCTCTACTGTCATCACCTTTCTTAGTTTGAAAGGCCTTTTTCCACATCTGAGGTGATTTCCTTTGTTCACAGTCTTTTAATAATTGCATATCAGGCTACCAAAAGTGATTCTTCCCCCCTCTTTTTATTTTCTTGCAAATACCTCCTCGTCTAGAGGGATTGATCCTCGAGTTCTTACCTACCTCTGTGTGTGAGGTTCATTCTGAGTCTCCATGCAAATGTTTTTCCTGTGAGGTTTTGGCATTACTGTAAGGAGTAATGTTGCATCCTGAATAGATGTCAATCACAGCATAAACTGAAGCTAAGACCTCAGACCTATAACCCTACATCAGGCTGCATTACTGTCTCCATCTTTAATTTTTAGCCAATGTTACTGTAAATTTTAAAAAGTTGCAGTTGCAAGACTTATGTCAGAGAAAGGATTAAACTTTTACATTCATTCTCTGTTTCTTGTGAAGTATCAATTATCAAAAAGCAAAAATACTGATGAATATGAAATTAAGAGTTTTATGCAAAATGTCTTTATAGAACTGATAATTTTAAACTATTCTCTTGAAAAGTCTCAAAAAGGCTTGTGATAAAAGCTTATGAATTAAACATGACTTCTGCTGGAGCGAACAGGCAAGTTTTTGAATTGCATTAAAATTAAAGTCATGATGATTTTTTGATTTTGCTGAAGTACTTAAGTCTAGAATTATATACTGATGCCAATATCTGAAAATTACACAAAGCTAAACCAAATGTCTATTTTTGTGGAGGGAGGAATAGGAGACCATTTTTTCTTGTTTTTGTATAAACTAGCTTCTGACAACTTTTAGGATATTCTGTGTGACCCTTCTAAATTAATCATAAACCAACTAACTATTTATGAAATAAATTTTACAAGTCCATGTAAGTAAGATAAAATTTAAAATACTGCTGTGGTGGGAATATAGATCTCAAACAAGAGATTATGTATGTAAATTTGAAAATTATTTTCCATTTTTCTTCTGATCTGATTTATGCAATTGTCTGATTAATAGTGTATAGCATTTGCTTAAAAGAACACCTTAATAATTTGGATTACTGGTGGAAAGGAAGAGTTTTCTTCTTAATGTTGCACAATTACCCACCACTTTTTTGCCTCATCATTCTTTTTTCAGATTGTTATCGTGGCAATGGCAAGACTTACATGGGGAATCTATCCAAGACAAGATTCGGGCTAACTTGCTCCACATGGGACAAAAATATTGAAGACTTACGTAGGTGTGTACATATTAAACAGAAAGAGATGGTTCAGTGAGTCCTGAATAAATACTGCCTCCAGATGGCAACTCTTTTTCATCTGCATTGATTCTAAAGTAGGCCCTTATGCTCTGGAGCTTTTAATATCTTTGTTTTTCTAATTTTTTTTTTTTTTTTGTGTTTAAATATATTTCACAACATGACCTTTTTCAGGCTAACCAGTAATTGCAGGCTTTGGGATGTTTGTTAGTGTTTGGTTTACTGGCCTATTTTACCCCATCCTTGTCCTTGAAAGTTTGGTAAAATGCGAGGATATCAGAAATGAGAGGAAATAGTTGTCACATCAGCCTCATTTCATAGCTCATGCTGCTTCAAGGAGGAGGATAGACTTGAAACCACCTAATGTCCCTTGCAGCTTGAAATTGACTCTTTAGTCTATGATCAAGTGACAATGATGTCAAATACCAATAAAAAGACCTGCATCATTACTTTGGCTTCATATTCAAGTAGTAGAAATGTCAAATTAATTTATTTGTGGAAGTAAAATGAATTAACAGGACTATATATCGCATAAGGGATTCATAAAATGTTTTGCTGTGTATGAGATATCACACACACTAGTAGCCATGATGACAATAGTTTCTCCTTCATTTTCCTTTAGTTTCTGGAGCTGATGCAAATGTGTCAGTATTAGCTTTGGCACTTGTTGTAGAGTGACAGTGCTGAACATATAAGCCATTGTTCTTTGGACGGTGTAGGTCAGGAAATCAGCCTCTGGGCAAGCTGTGTAGCAAAAGGTAGACTTTAGTGGCCCTGTCTGGTATCATCAGCTGGACTACAAGTTTTTCTTCTCACAGATGGTGAGAGAGAGGATACATATCCCAGTGTGCTGCCCATGGAAGGGAAGCAGAGGTTGAAGCTCATGCTGCCTGAGAAGCATGATAAGTCTTTGTTTGCTGTGGCTGAGGCAGTATAAACCTACTGGGTGCTTGATGCAATTGCATTCATCTAATAGAGCACAGATCAGCCCACACATTTTCCATCTGGGAACTTTGGGGAGTTATCTGTCTCACTCCAATAGTTTCCCTGTTTATGGGTGTTCTAGAGGCAGCATGAGTGGTTGGTTATGGACTGAAGGAACACTACAGTCGTAACTAAAGAAGCCTGTATCCTTGTCTCTGACAAGCCAAAAATAAACTTCTTCCTCAGCTTCTGATTTTGGCCTCAAAATTTCACCTGCTTCATGTAGGCTTGCAGCTTAAGTGACTTATTACTGCAGTTTGTCTGAGCCATTAATCTTTCTCCTTGCCTGCTGCTTATCCTTGCTAACTTTCTTAGTTTGCCTTTCTTTTTGCCTTTGATTCAGCTTTGTAGATTCAATGCTCCCCTGTGCTGTTAACCTGCAGGAGAAGGAACCTGTGTTCCCCAAAGGGGTCTGAGGGTTTTCTGAGAGCATCATAGGCACTCTTCTAATCAGTATAATGGTTCCTCCAAAGGATATCTAGAGATTTTAGCTTGAGTGGGAGATTTAGAAGCCTCCCAGCTATCCAGTGGACACAGTGCTTAAAATACCAACCAGAGGAAAGTTGGACCCAGATCCAGGAAATATTTGGGTCTCATCTTCCCTTTGATTTTAACGAGCCTTAAACCCTGACCTGTAGGCTTCTCAATCAGCTAATAATGCAATGTGGAGCAAAACAACATTTAACCTTTGAAAATTTGGGCTATAGTATAAAGCTTTTCAACACTTTGAATTTTTTTTCCCTGTAGGCATATACAAATATTCAGAGAACCAGATGTTAGTAAACTGAAGAAAAACTATTGCCGCAATCCAGATGATGATTTTCATGGTCCCTGGTGTTACACAGATGATCCTCTTGTGCCCTGGGATTACTGCCCTATTTCTCGATGTGAGTACTTGGCACGCCGCTGGCACTGTCAGCTGTGCAGTCCCAGCGGAGCCACGGTGTCGGTGTCACATGCCTGTGCACACCTTCCTATTGTCACTTGTGGCTGCAGAAAATGTGTGATTCTATCAAGAATCAATTGTGCATGACTGAGAAGGAGCAGACAGAAGCTGCTTGTGCAATATATGAACAAGGGGTTCTTTTCCTTGACCAGCTTGGAGATTTCAAGACTTATTTATGCAGCAAAAGCACAAAGGGGCTATTACAGATGGTCAAACATTTTCCAGCAGATCTAGCTATTGAATGAGGGCTGGACAGAGACAAAGAATTGTCTAGCGGTCAGAATACTGGCTGTGGCCTCAAGAAACCCAGGAAGAGTTATCTTCTGGGCTACAGGCTTCAGAGACTCTTTGTGTGATCTGTCTTTGTAGTGTTAGGATAACTCACTATATATATATATATATGATGAAGTGTATATGTGGTATAGAGATTAGATTCTGCTTTCGGATGTTTATGGGATGATTTCACTCCTGGCAAGAATTAAGAAAATCATGCCTCCAAAGTTAAATGTTTAAATCTAAATAGCTTAAATAAACAGAATTAAGAATCCTAGGGAATTCAGAAATAAACTGATGACAAGTAGAAAAAGATAGTTTTATGCTGAAAAATGTGCAATTCACATTTATGTTCAAAATCTTTCTCTTCAATTCTTATTTCTAAGTTACTCTGCTGTATGTCCTGGGAGAGCACTTAAATGGTAAATCAGGCTTTTGAATGCATGTCTGTGATCTCTAGAGGTTTAGGATAATGTTATTACACTCATTCCTAGCGGCAATCTACTGCATTTCCTCATAGCCTGAACTCCAGCATCTCCAAAAAGTGGTATTTGAAGTCTCAGGTGATACTTTGGCATCTAAACAAAACTGTGCAAAAGGTTATTTGTGTTGATATAAATGAAAAATAGCTGAAGAAATATGCTTTTTATTCACTATTCTGAGTTCATTATTTGTATCTGTGAATTCCTAAGGATGTATTCTCAGCAAACATTTCTAGGGTATCCAGAATTGGTGACTAGTACATTTCTGCAATCAAACACCAAGTGGGAATATGCCAGTTTTACAATTGTAACTCATATGGACTAGTATTACAATACTGTATCAATATATATGTACATTCATACAGTTATACATAGAAACCCATGCATGTATGCACACATATACATACATATATGCACATACAAATATGCATGTGTGTATACATGCACATAGAAATTTCACTATGGATATAACTGTATCTATATATATATATAATTATACCTCTGTGTGTGTGTGTGTCAGTGTCTATATATACACACATATTTTCTTAATGATGGAAATCTAGTTGGATGAGATTGTTTGAATTTTCCAAGTTTTCAGCAGCTACTCCTGTACCTCTAGCTCATAATGCTGGGTCACTCTGTACATGTCAGAGGGTAAACATTTAGAAACAAATTTAAGCAAACTTGTTGTAACTATTTTTTTAATTGGACTAGATGGAAGTACTGAACTAGATTTTGGTAATCATGTTGTGATAAGAATAAGTTTTTGTTGATAGGAGCCTAAAATGTCTTTCAAAGTTTTTTAAGGAATTGAGAATTTATTTCAGTCTTCTTTGGATTTAATCACATGACTTCTATAGTTCCTGAAAGCTTTTATAAAAGTGGTAACTTAATTTTTCAGTATTTTCTTGTTTGAATGAAACATGTTGATTTCACATAATAGGCGGCCTGATGTCTTTAGGATTTGGCCAAGAAGAAAAATGTTTGACATCCCTGCTCCAAATATTTCTTTCTTATTTCATTCTATAAGAATAAAATTCTGCCCCCTTGTTAAACCTTACTGAATACTGCTTTTGCTGTGTACTGAAGAAATCATTGAAATTTAAAACTTTGTGAACTGTAAAGTTAACAATATGTCATTTGCTGTTGAAATTTATTCCATTTTTAAATGTATTTTAATCTTGTATTATGGTTATTTTGTGTATCTGTCTAGGTGAAGGTGATACAACTCCTACTACAACCAGCTTGGAAGGTAAGTTTATGTATGAACTGTGCAGTGCATGACTATCCTCTAAATATAGGCATTTCTTTCCAATTGGGAAACAAAATAAAGATTAGTAAAGTTATAAAAAACCCACAATACAGACTGAGCAAAATTAATTTTACAAAAGACGAATGGGAAATATGTTTGTTATACTCCTTTATCTATTCTCACTGTCATGTCTTGCCAGTGGTGAGATTTGGTAATGAGCTTCAATGTTTGCTTTTTAACTATGTAAATCTCAAAAACCTATTTAAATTTATGTATTTTATATTCCCTAGGGATATTTAAATAGACCCACTCAGCTTCACTGAAGTAGTTTTGACGGCCTAGAAATATATTTCATTAGCACAGGAAAGTTAATACATAATAAATATTGACCTTCTTGTGGTCCTTATGTGCAACTGTGCAGGTTTCCTACCACTGCTTTTAGTAAAATGTCATCTCTGGACCTGCTTTCAGATACTGCCATTCCTTGTGCCTCAACAAAACATTTGAGAGTTGTAAATGGAATCCCAACACAAACTAACGAAGGATGGGTGGTTAGTTTGACGTACAGGTAACTATCACTTTGATTAGAAGAGCAATACAATTACTAGGATATTTGTTTTAGAATTGTAGAAAATGTTGACCTAATAACAATAAAAGAATATTTCTAATTTCTACATTGCAGTTAAGTTGGGTAAAAGTAGAGAATCAGCATTCCTCTAATGTCAGGTGATGCCATAGTATTCACTCTGCTAGTGAAATACTTTATATGTTCATTATAGCTAACTTATACGCATGAACCTGCAAAGCATTCATAGTGTTCTGCTCTTCCAATTAGCTACTGCAGGCCTTTTCGTAACATCGCCTTCACATTCAGCATTAAACTGTTTATTTTAGAGACTGTTGGAAAAAGAATGAATTTCAGATCAATATTTTCACTTTGATGGCAGAGCATTTAGTTGTGAAGTGTAGGATTCAGGATTTATGCCTGTGTCAAATTAAGCGTTTCCCTATGTCATTACATGCAATTAAAATTTATTCGGTATTAAAAAAAATAAATAAATAATTATGAGCTATAAGAAAATCCTTTTAATTCTGTAAAACAAGACTCTGACATGTGCAACTTGTGTGTAACACATGTATTATATTGTGGCAGATTTTTGCTGCTGTGTAAAAGCCAGAACATAGAATGGCTGTTTCCTATGCTTTTTTCTCCAGTTCATAACACATCAGCTGGAAGTGTGAATCATTAATTTATAACAGGATATATCTCATGCATCAGCCCTGTTTCTTCTCTCATGAAAAATAAAAGTTAAAAAAACCTATATTTTGTCTGCTGGGCCAGACTAAAAGGAAGATCAGTTCTATTAGCTTATGATTCGTCATCTAATTTAAAACTATGTTGTAAAAGAGGTATTAAATGAAAAATGGAAGTAAAGGAAAAGATAAAAAATACATTCTCTACATCTCTTCATTGCTAGAGCAGTTTGTGCAGTGGGATGGGTTCTTCCCATCCCTGTAACCTTTGCATCATATGAGATCCATCAGATCTTGACCTTTTTGGGAGTGCATCAGATGGTTCAGAAAGACATTCCTAGAGGAAGATCACTATATTCCTAGACTAAGTAACCAAATAGGTGGGCTAAACCACTCCCTGGAAAGGTTAATCTTTGCACTGTTTTAAAAGTAGCCTTGATATTTGATGAACTTTCAGGCAGGTAAGGTGAATTACATCTGGGTGCCTAAAATTGAAATAGCTATTGTTAGGGTAGTTGAACCTGGATTTTCTGCTATGCAATAAAATTCCATGAAACATGAATGCTTAAATGATTGCAGATCCTTTTATGTATAAGGGATTCCTGGAATACTCCAGCAGCAAAATATGTTTTGAAATATTACATGTGGGCATAAAAATGTAGTTTTATTTTGTATTGTTACCAAGGAAGTAAATAGAATATTGTCTGAAATAAAATTTTAATGACATCCGATCTTTCTGCAAGAAAGCCTTAACTGTACGCTCAACAATGGAATTGCTGTGTCTGAATGGTGAAGGCCCAGTGAAACTTAGGAACTATTCATATTTGGTATTCAAAGTCCACCTTTAAATCTTAAATTGATAAATGAAATTTTCTTGTATATCCAATTCAGATTCTGTAATCAAATGTATTTAAGCTCTAAATTTGCCCCATATATAAGTGAAGAATTGACCTGTCTATGTATATTAATGAATCTTCTAACACAGATGATGAAATTCTGTATAAAACAATGAGTGATACAAACTTAACATGGAGGAACATAGCTATATTCCTGACTGTGATATTTTTATAATAAAAAAATCTAGAACCTACATTTTAGAAGACTACAGCCTTTTGAACCAGATATTTTGCTTTTCAATTAAAACATGATTTAAAAAAAAGTCAAAGCTCTGTGTTATCCTGCTGTCTGTGAACTACATATAGTCTGGTCTCCATCCAGTAGTTCTTTGCAAAGCTCTGAACATTTGTGTGGTTTGAATTTATAAATTGTGAGATTTTAAGCTTTTCCCAAATTGCTGACAATTCTGATTCACTTTCCAAAGAGCTACAGAAAATAAATGTGATTTTGGAGGCACAGAGAAGGAAACTAATTAATCTACATTCCACAGTAATTTTTTTAAAAGAACTGTCATGCTTAATTGCTTTAATTTTACTTGATATATTATGCTTCAAGTTTTCTATAATCACATGTAGGATGTCATACACTGCAGATTGTTTCCAACTGAAGTATGTAGGGACACAAATCTCCTAGGATTTGTAATCAAATAGGAACTCTCCACCTTGAGGTCAATGCTTTGAATAATACTTACATGAATAATGACCAAATGTTGTTTACATCTGGTGGCAGTCTGGGGACTTGCTTGAAAGTTTCAATCCAGTTCCTGTTACAAAGAATTGGCCCTTTTTTTTATTATTTTATTTTAAACTAGGTGTCTTATTACAAATTCAGCTTTCTTTCTATTTTTTTGCACATTGGAGTAAAGCGCTGCAAAGTCATATTACTGTAAGTGTTGAAATTGTAGAGCAAAGGGACAGAGACAAGTTTTAGAATATTGTCAGTCTGCCACTTTTCACTGGCAAATGTGTGGGGAGCAAAGCACTTTTTAAACTTTTTGTCTAATATTAGCGGTTTTGGGGTTTTTAAAAAATTTTTTTCCTTTCTTTTTTTCCTCCAGGAATAAGCATATCTGTGGTGGTACTTTGATAAAAGAAGAGTGGGTTCTTACAGCGAGGCAGTGCTTCCCTTCTCGGTACAGTAGTCTGGAACTTTGCAATAATAAAATCCATCTATTTTCGGGAACTTATCAGAACAATGCTTTTTCAACTTGAATGCAGCAGTTTTTCCTTCTGTTTGGCTTTAACACTGCTTTTATGATATAAAAGGCCTGTGGGACCTTGCTATTTTCTGTTATTATTGCTGTAAATCTAAATAGCCCTGGCTATTTTACATAGAAGCACAAATAGATTTTCCAAGTGTCATGGTTAGACAATTGCCTCTTTATGAGAATAATTTCATGCTTCTGCTTAAGTGGACAAAACAGAATAGAAAACTTGGGTAAATCTAAAAAAGTTCAAAGGTTTATACTGTCCCAGGATTTAAATGTTTGGATACTGTTATGAAGAAAAAAATACATTTTAGTAATGGTTAAAGGTAAAATTATGTAATGGCTTCAGGCCAAAACCTTACATCCAAGCATGTTGATTTTGGAACAGCAGTTGGCAGCATGAAGCCATTTCTGCTAAGGAGCATTAGTTAAGATCTTCCAGCATAATCATATTAAGCAGAGTTTTTTAGTTATTTTATTATACAGTCAGCTAAATTGTAACCAACTTTGCCTCATTTAGGTACAAAGATTTGAAAGACTACAAAGCCTGGCTTGGAGTCCATAACATCAAAGGAAAGGGAGAGGAGAAGCGCAAACAAGTCCGGAACATCTCCCAGTTGGTATATGGCCCCACAGGGTCAGATTTGGTCTTGCTGAAACTTAGCAGGTTAGTAGCTGTTATTGTGAATTCCAGCACTTTTCACCTGTTGGGTGAGATTCTTCCTAAATGAGAATTGCAAGTTCATTGCTCTACTATTTCCCATACTACAGATGGGGTAAACTTCCAACTGAAAGAAATTTTACTTGATATATGCAGAAATGTAGGTCCATCAATGTTACTCAGAAAACAGATGTTACTCCTGTGAAATCATACCTACACTATTCTTCCTGTTAACCATGTTTAGGTTTGTTAGGAGATTTAATAAAAACCCACTAAGTACCCACATGGACTAGTATATGGTTTTAATTTATAGACTAAGCACCAGATTGTAGCTGAGATCCTTGTGTATATACAAGCTTTCAAAATTTCTCCATATGAACAAACGTATATATCCAAATGAAATGCCATCGTTACTTACTTTTAAGATTAAAACCCAAGTTAAATAGCATAAAAGTGGTGACAGCATTTCAAGAACTTTTTGACAGTTGTCAGCTGTAGTACAAAAAATAGGTAGAAGAATCCATCATATTCTTCAGAAACAGAAAATGAAAGGAAAAGAATTGGCACAGTTTTAAATTGCTGAGGTCTATAATAAACTTAATGTAATTTTAAAAACACAGTTGAGACGGTTAAGTAAAATCCATGATATGTATATTTTTTCCTTCTTTTCAGGCCGGCTATATTGACAAATTTTGTAGAAATAATCCGATTACCCATTTCTGGATGTACCATTCCAGAGAAGACCAGCTGCAGTGTTTATGGATGGGGATACACTGGATGTAAGAAACTATTTTTAAAAACTAAATGAATACGTTGACAACTTACTTCCTCTTGTCATTATAGGTGAGGCTGCGGGTATGGCCTGATGCCACGGTTGTCCAACGCTTCTTATTAAAAAATGGAGTTGTTTTTTTTTGCTAATTTTGTAAATCTCTGAGCCTTTTATCCAACTCAATTTAATATGAAATATTTTCCACTCTCCTTTTTTGTTGTTGTTTCAGGGACAGGCAAAATGATCCAAATATTTCAAGGAGTGAATTAGAGAAAAATACCAATTTGCCTGTAAAGACAAAATAGCAAAATTGCTCTGCAGAATGTTAACAGGGTTTTTTGACAAATCTTTGTTCATCTGCTTGAGCAGTCTCTTTCTGTTATCCAAAGCAGGACGCTGTGGGAAAACTAATACAAAAACATGTAATCAAAGCCTTTATTAGCATACACAATAACAGTGAACCAGGGATGCACAGGCAACCCGAAGTCTGGAATTTCCTAACTTTTGAGTGCTTCACTTTGCAACCTTTCTTATGTTTATTAAACACAGTTTTGTGTGAAGAAAATACAAATATGTGGGAAAACAGACATTTATTTAGTCTAGTAAATGCTATATCTGACTAATTAAGTGTTGATAAAAAGTTAATAGCTGCCAGTTGACAATAATTACTCCAATATTTACTGTGTTCAAATGTTGTTTTGCCACAGACCCTGAGTAAGCAGCAGCAATATACTCACACTGTCCTGGAAGCAGAGCAGAAGCTAGGCTAGAATTCTGAGTCTGTCTTCCTCATAGCCAATACTCTGCCATTTCTTTGTGGGTGGCAATTAATCTGTACCAGCCCTCTCCCAAATGACTGCCTTTGATGTTCCCAGCATGTCCATATTAGCCATCCTCTGGGGGCATCGGCTGTCTGGGGGACAGGGACACCAGGCTGGAGCACAGCACAGCATCACAGGAAAGCTTAGCTTAAGAGAACTGATAAGGAATTTGCAATGTTGTGGAGTTATGTAATATAGTAAATACATAACATCTGTCATCCAAGGACTTTGTACTATAATTTTTGCACTACTTTATATAATCCTCACAGAATCCCGGTCAGGGAAGGAAGAAGTGTTACATCCATTTTTTTAAAGAAAACAGGATAATAAGTCAGTGGAGGGCAAGCTTGGCATTTTCTTTTGATGGCTGTTCAGAGAATGGGCAGGTCCAGACCTATTATTTATCTTTGCAGCTTGTACAGGCTTGTCTTTCGACATGTAGAACAAGAGTAAGCTCCACAGGGCTCCTGCTTCCTGACCTTCCCACTGATGAATGGAGATTGCACAAGGCTGTGGCTCTGCCCTTGCAGGCACAAAGTCATTCAGGGTAGCTGAGCCAGCACAGATTGAGAAAAACTCCACTCTGTATTTTTCAAGTCACACGTCCTTCCCTAGGCCATGGCAGGCACTGTTACACATTAACTCATGTTTAAGGCAGGGAGCAGAATCCTCTCTCTACTGATGGGAGTGATAACATTTTCGGGCTCTTTTTCTGATTTCTTTGATGACTGGGCAATCTGGTGGTGAGCTGTACAGTGAGTCCAGTTACACAGCCCTTTTTTCTAGTACTAAAAACTTATCCAGATATTCTCAGAGAACTGAGCAGACATGAAAACGAAACAAATGTGTGGCAAATCCCATTTTCATAAAATATAAATGAAAAGCATAATAACAGTGGGGATAGACAAAACCATGAGTTTTAGAGAGAAAGTACAAAAACTGAGATTACATGGATAAGTTTATGTTGACTGTATCTTGAAACACTTTCCCCCCCCCTAAAATACAATAAAATTTTTATCTTCTTTTCAATTGTAGTAGTCAACTATGATGGCCTTCTCCAGGTAGCAAACTTGTTTATTTTGGGAAATGAGAAATGCAACCAATATCTCAAAGGGAAGATTACTGTGAATGAGTCTGAAATCTGTGCTGTGGCTGAAACCATAGGTGCTGGGCCTTGTGAGGTAAATACTGTATTTCCTAATACATATTTAGGACCCTGGCTATTTCTTTCCCAAAAAATAAATTACTGGATGTTTTTTTTATTCTCATTGTACTAAACTTTTGCATTGGAAAATTATTTGTGTTATAATTCTTCTGTTTTATGTCAGAGTGCAGAAATTACTTTGATTTCACTGTGCTACCACACCATTGAAAGATTTACAGGAATCTTATATATACTCATATATTAGAACACTTGACTAGACTAGACAAACTTGTGTTCTGTATACTAAGGACAAATGTGGGCTCTGTGGTATCAATAGCTGTGTGTTTTGATTGAGTAGAAATCAAAGGCTGGAGCAAATTTACCTCCATCTATTTAGATGAGGTGTTGCATGCAAAATACATAACAGTCAGTACTCAACAGATGTGATAAAGTTATGAAGGAAGGAGAAATATCCAAAAATGTGCTGTGGTTTTTTATGAGTCAGAAGGCTGGAGCATTTTTGTCTCCTGAGCCTGAGCAACATATTGATGAAGCACTACTTCAGTGATCATATAGTTTGGTACAGTTTTTTTTGCTTAGCACTAGTTTTGATGATGGAGAAAAGATATCTGAGGAGAAAAGCTGTAAATTATTTATTACAGGAAGAAATAAATTTTTTTAATTGAAAATCTGACTGAAGATATCCAGAAGGAGGGAATTCATGAACATTATTAAGTATTTATTATCTGAAATAAGATTGTTGATTTCCTAATACCGACTTTAATCGTGTAGTAAAATTTTCCCAACCCAAGGGTACTACCACACCATGGGGAGCAGAGGTCATCTTCATAAAGCTGAGGCCTCTTCCATTTGTTATTAATAATCTATGGGATCATTTTTTGTTGCAAAGTATTTTCTTCAAAATAAAATGTTTAAATATAATTGAGGTCTTAGACTTGTCAAGGCTTATAAATGAAACATCTGCATGGGAGTCTGCTGGGGATCCTGTGCTTTGTTTTCCCCTGCAAGAAGAAATGGAATGAATTAATATTAGCAATCAGTCTTAATCACAGAGCAGTTTCCTGTTCCCTATGTTCTCCTTTGAAGCTACTTTCCTCAGCAGACAACAGGCAGAGGAACAAAATAAGATTGACAGGTGAAACTCCACTCCTGAAAGTGTTTTATGGGCAGCTCTGATGGCTCTGACACAGTTCATTGTTCATTTGGGAACTAGTCTGCCGTCAGTCAAAAAAAAAATCCCAAACCAAATAAAGGTCAAGCATTGTTGTTTCTCTGGTGATCCAGAGAGAATACGATGCAAATTTTCAGCTATCATTTTCTGAGACAATAACTCACTGTCTGATATGAGAATTTTCTGTCTAGTTTTGCAGCGAGTTTGCAGGGTCCAGTTTACCTTTAGACTAGGTAGAAACTGCAGCATCTGTCTTCAAGTCCCAGATCTGGGTACATCTATTTCGGTGGGTCATACTCCAAATTTCCCAGAATGCATAAACTAATGTATAGGTGTTTCATTGATTCAAAATAACAAAAAAGTCATTTTAACAAGTTATGTCCCAAATTAATGCTTAAAAAAAGTATTACCTTTTTATTATGTTTGTTATTCCCCCTGCCTATTAGTAAACACAGATTCTCATTCTAGGGCCTTGCAAGATGCTTGATGAAAGAAAGATACTAACCTGACTTTGTCAGTAGTGTTTAATGTAAAGCCTGTCATCATAACAAAGATGTTTATCTGTCAACTCACATTCTGCTCATCTGGTTTATATTCACACAAAAAATATTAGGCTTGCTGAAAGAGGTGAATGAAATCTGGTAGTTTGAAGTCATTAGAATGACACGTAAAGACAGATCACAGAGCTTAATTTGCACGGAAAGGAAGAAAAAGTCAGAGGCCAACTCTGACATTGTTTGTCAAAAGTGTTGGTTATGAAAAAAAAAGATATTGGAAGTTGGTTTATGTCCTATGGCAAGAACACTATTGCCTGGTGCATCCCGTCTTCCCCAAGATAAATCATACAGTAGTAGACAGGTGGGAGCTATATCTTGAAGCATTTTGAGAAGTGACACTCATGTTTATTTTTTTCCTAGCGAGATTATGGTGGTCCTTTGGTTTGTGAACAAAACAGGCTGAAGATAGTAATTGGTGTCATTGTTCCTGGCCGTGGATGTGCCATTCGAAATCGTCCTGGGATTTTTGTTCGCGTCTCATATTATTCCCGGTGGATTCACAAGATTATGATGACCTACAGAAAACCCTGAAAAAGTCAGCAATTCCCACTGAAATATTCTGGACAGCATGTAATTAATGTGTAATGTAAGGATCAACAATTTTTAAGTACTTGATAGTCAAGTTTGTTGAGCTTCTTTTAATATTTATGGGTGTTTTTGGTGTTTTTGTCTACCAGTGTTGTTTTATAAATGTTGGAGTGACTTACAGTATATGCAAGTATGGTGACATATCTCCTGAAGATACTTGAATGGATAAACAATTTTGCAGAGACATTACTGGATGATAAATGGTTTTGTAGAAATAGATCATATGACCTCCTTAATGCTGCTCTTCAGATTATCTTAGGAGAAACAACTTACAGTTCTACTTAACACAACTTATTCTTTCTATGAGCCATATATTTCTCTTCATATATAACAAAAGCCCTACTCAGAAATATATGCATCTGTCCAGGACAGCATTTATGATCATATTTCTCTTTCCCCCTTATGAGAGGTTAAAAATTTCAGTACTTTATTAAAAAATCATATCTTTAGTAAGTAATCTTTTCATTATTGATGGACTTTGACAAGCCTGCCGTAAGCAGAGTTCTCATAGAAGTCATTACCACTTTCTTTTTCACAATGCTTACAGACTAGTTCTGCACTTGGTTCCTTTAATGTATATATGGTCCTCTAACAGATATCTCAAACCTCATTTTGGTTAGCAAACTATTGATCATTTCTTTAAAACCTGACCCAGAAATAACTGGATTTGCAATGCTTAAGACAGAATATTATACAGTTTGAAAAAGTAATCCTGGTTAGCTATTGGAAGACTTTGAGCATTAAAAGAAATCTAAATTAAATATGATCAAATCTTTCTAAACAAACAAGTACTAAAAGTTTGGTTGATTCTAGTTATTTCATGAAACTGCATTTACAGCAAGAAAAAAAACAGTTGAATCTAGCACCTGGCTGAGAGACCTAAATCTGGGAAAAGTAAGTTATACATTAATAATTTTTCAGAGACTTGCGAACTTTAATAAAACCTTAATTAGATTTGGACAAAATTCTATCTTTTGTGTACTTCCTTTCAAGATAATAAAACAATTGCAGATATTGATATGATCTTGTATTTAATATGGAAAACATGGCCAATAGTTTAGTTGCTTGTTTCCTGGCTATATATGGGACAATCATTTTCCTTTACGCTGATAGAGAAAGGAAACACAAAATCATCATCTATGAAAAGTGCTTGTTATTCTGTAGGCATTTATTTTTGTGTCTGGAAATTTTGTACAGATATGTTGTTATAGGTGGCACTGATTACCCTTTAATCAGTATTGGGTATTTCTGGAATAATTGATATGACATATATCCAATTGTTAGTTTTACTACTGTACATGTAATTGCATAAATAACGGCACTGTTGCTTCACGTGTGACTGTAAATTGTAAATGTTTCCAGTAGTGTTTGGTCTGTGTATCATATGTAACTGCACAGCCATGAGGCTGACACCGTGGTGTAGATATACAAAAGGACATTTCATGCAGAAATGCAGGGTTGAATTCTGCCCTGTCAGAAAGCAACCACTTCAGGGGAGATGTCTTGGAAAACAGGCCTCGTCTTGACTCACCGAATTTTTTTCAGCAGTGCACTTTGACTTCAGTAGGACTCAGTATGCTTACATCTGGTGAGCTGGGATGAGTTTCAGGCCATGCTTAAGAGGCTTGGCTTGCTGAGATTTGGGTCACATATCCAGCGGATTCTACTGGCACATAGGAAGAAGTGTTTCAGCAAGCAGAGCTTCTGAAATTCTTCCTGATGTAAATAGTCTCTTTGGACAAGATGTGACTTCTCTGTACAGCAGATTCAAGGTTGTGGATGCTATGCAGACAGTCTGTCTCAATCTGGCCACCTCTCAAGGCTTCATGCTCCCTTTAGCCTCTCTTACTTACCAGGCCTAAAGAGGGCAGGATTTAGCCTGTTGTATTTACACTTAATTATTGTAATGTAGGTGAAGAGTGTACTCATACTAAGTGTATACTGACCATATCTTATTGACAGGATTACATTTTTAAGAAAGACTTTTAAAAAACTCCAAGTGAGCTTTGTTCTCAGCCACAAGAAGATGTGGATAAAATATACAATTCCATGTTCACTCTTTGTATTCTAAGAATTGTCATGTGCTCACTGTATTATATTTGCAGGCATTTTGTTATGTCTATCTAAAAAATTTGAATCCTAAAATATTTTAGTTATAAGCTTCTGCTGTGCAGAAGACTGTGATTTTTATATATATATCTCACACACACACACACACACACACACACACACATATATATGATAAAAATACTGTTTTTTCTTAGACAATGTGTAAGGATTTTTACCTGTTTGTTCTGGGCAGTGCCTCAGTAAAATAAATTGTGCAGAATTGATGCTCCAGAACTTAACAAGTTTGTATGCACTTGCTTACCAGGTACTTTTGCTCTCCCTATCTCAGAATGGAGGGCACCTGAGATCCTGAAGAGCAAGGGAAGAGAAGAATAATGATATGTGGTAATGAATTTGTACTGCATTTATTCCTGTGAATATTTCTTGTTGGTACCAATGGTACCGTACCAGGCAACTGTTATAATTACAGGACTCTCTTAAGAAAGGACACTCTATAGATATTTTTTCACTGTTCTGATATTTTTATCTCTGTTATAACAAGGGAACCTGATCTAGTGCCCATCTAAATGCTGAAAAGCCCCTTACTAACTTCAGTGGGAACTGAACATCATAGTTGTGATTTTAATCAGATTAGAATAAAGGCTACAGTACTTAAATTCTTATCTAAGGACATTCTTAAATTCTGTTGAATTTCATTCTCATTCTCCTTGCTGAACTAATCCTCAATCTCTGAAAGAAGTAATTTTTGAATATAAAATTATGGAATTAAAACCTAAGAGGTGATTTTGTGCAATTGAAATTATTTAAACTTAATTACTATTTTCTTTGGGCATTGGAACTGGCTAACACTTATTCCTTTTCTTAAAGAAAACATTTTTCCCTTTAAAAAAATTTCCCCCTATCTCTTTTTCTTTCATAAACCTCATGACCCTCAGAAAAATGTAGCTCTCATTGGGAATGTACTGGTCTAGGTTTTTGCTGCTACTGCTGAAATCTTCTTCTCTAGTTTGAGATTAAAATTCTCTGAGGCATTCTGCAATTTCTTCCTGCAGGTAATGCCAGTGTACTTGACAGAGCTACTTACTTGAGTTAGAGCTTTTCAGATGAGGGTCCAAATATATTTCTGGGGGTCAAATTCTACTCAGGCAAAATGCCCCTTGAATTCAGTGAATGAGATTGTCAAAAGAGCAGGGCCTATGAGTTCAGTGCTTTTCCATGTGGAGCCTTGTACACATTCTCAGCTCCAAGGTGACCTCAGCAGGAGTTGAGGCTTTGTTATCATCCTTCTGGAAAGCTGGTTGTAAACCAGTTGACCCTCATGGAAACTATGGGAAACCTATTGGATTGGTTATTTTGCCTTGTCTCCTCACCAATTGTTTTCTTCCTCCCTCCTGTGCACTGGTATATTTTTGTTTTTGAATGTTGGGGCTGCTGGCAGGAACTAACATGGCTTTTCACCCTAAAAATTTCCAGTGTTCCTTTTTAAACATACCCTTGGGCATTTATGTATGGCATTTTCTTGCATGGGATCTAACTTCAGGGAGCTGCCTGTGGAGTTTAGTGTATGATAAAAGTATTTTTACTTATTTAAGTGGGGAAAATAATGCTCCCATTAAGTACAATTTGATGAATGCCTAATGAAAAGGGAACACTCTGGTTATAACTTGTAATACAAATCTGTAATTAACATGTTCATTAGTTAATAAAGTTGGTATTTTTGTAACCTTGTTTACTCTTATTATTCTTAATAAAGTATTTTATACAAAACAACAACTTAATTAGCATTACATTTCTTATTGAAAGAACAAGGCCACAACCCCACTGCAAGTTTCCCAGTTCCAATTCCAGTGAGGGATTTTAATGTGCAAAATAAAGAGGACTGGTGCTGTAAAGATCCTCTTGTGTCCAATTGCAGAATTGAAAATAAAATTAAAGAAAGAGTCAAATACATTGTGATTTTATTGAAAGTTACCAAGACCTTTCTGAATTATTTCTGCACTGAGAACAGTCTAAGCATATTGCAGTGAATGTATATTTGCAGTGGAAAGGATGTTCTCAAGCTGAACATAAATAATTTTCTAGAGTTTTTAGTTCCTTGCAATTTCAGTATGGGAGGCTTGGAATTTTACTTATTTGTATAAATACATTTTAAACTTCTGGAAAGGGCTCCTCTCTCAGTATTACTTAATACTACTGGTTGTACAAAAGATGATGCAAAGGAGACCAATAACTTACAACAAACCTTGGTGCTGCTGCTGCACTTAATACCACAACCAGCCAGCAGCTACCAGAGAAGGAGATAAGCAACACCCTAACTAACCCCCCCAGAGCAGTGCCAAATATTGTCAGACTCCTATAACATCAGAGCATTCTGGTGAGTTCAAATAAGGGACAGTAAGCTCATTACTTCTTTGTCATTATTCAGCTGAAATTTCAAAGTTGCAAGCATTTCTGGTTACACTGTGATTTTGATGATTTAATATATATTTGCTCCAGCTATATCCACAGTGAATCATTTTTCAAATAGACTCATATGCTGAGTGTTTGAAGTCTGATTCTGAGTTTTCCATGGCAAATATCTCTTTTTTGTTTTGTTTTGTTTTTTCAAAAAAGGGAGTTTTCTAATCAATCCAGAAAAACAGTGGATTTTATCAGCAACTCCTGAAATCACTGGGAAGTTTGCAATAACTTCAACCATGCGGGAATGCTTTCAAAATTATTAAAAAACCATAAATAGTCCATATGTCAAAACAATACTTTGCTATAGTTTTACATTCAGTTTTCAGAATATTCAGGTGACCTGTGTGTCTTCTGGGAGCCATGAGAATTAACTGCTTGTACAGAAATTTGCACCACAAAAATCTCTAAAGGGA